TTTCTCTAAGAATAGCGAGGACTGCTTTCTCCGCGGTAAAAATCGAGAGGAATTGCGCGGGAAGATCCCCTCACTCCGCAGAGAGGAGAATCTCTTCCTGGAGGTCGCGGAGCTCGGTTGCTCCATCAGTGGCGTCTGATCATTCTTCCGGTACTCCATTGGATAGATTTCGAATCGGTAAATAAAGTGAAGGATCCACGGAAGGATAACGAGTTTTTCTCTCCATTTTCCAGTAAAGAGTCTGCGATGGGTAGTAGTCAGCCTAACGCTATGGACCCTGGTATCGGCGTTTCCCCGAACGGGGGCGAACCCACTCACCATGGAGCAAAACGAAGGTGAGCATTACCAGAGTTTCCTCTTTCATGATTCAATCAGCGGATTACTGATCGGTAATTGACTTCGGATTAAGAGGTCTTAGAAGAGTGAATCGCTGCGCGCGCCGCGAATTCTATAGTATTTCGAGCTAGAGCCTTCCTTCTCTCTTTGGCGAAGCCTGTCGGTAGTGCTTCTGGGTTTTCCGCATCGAGCGTCTCTCGCAGAAAATTGGAATGTTGGAACAAGCTGAATAGATCTAGCTTCGACAATAATCCGGTAGTTCACGTAGCATCGCTTTCCTCACACCACTCGAATGAGTGCGCGGAATGTTTCGCAATGGCAATCAACGACAGTTTCAACGTTCGCTTTTGGGTAGACCCTTCGCTAGCTTAGCGAGCTTTATCCACCTTTGAACGAGAGTGAAGAGTGCGTGAAGTCTGCCTTCGAATTATGAGTCCTGGTTGAACGGGCCCATCTCAGTCAGTCCGATCAACGGAATTGTTCAGAACAATTATCGAAATTCCCAAGTCGAATCGAGACTCTTGAGTGAAAAGTGGCTCATCTCAAGAAGAAGAGTCAGAACTTCGGGTGTTTTCTACGATGCAGAGCGACAGAAAAAAAACGAATCGTGTGTGAGTGAAATTGATTCCTTCCGTACCATCTTGCAGACCCGAATGAGGCGAATCCACAGCCAAGTAAGTAGACGATACTGACTATGTGTGTGTTGTCGCCTTGCTTACCGGTTCACTCACTCGATTGCGTCATTTTCACCTCATTCACACTCTCTCCCCTAACCCGAAACTCTGACTAACCGTGTTTCACGATCGGCTTTGTACCTGAAATCCATCGTGTACGTCTCACTGCTTCCCTCTTGCCTCGTCCGACTTTTCGTCCTGTCCGCCTGCTGAACTCTGAATGTTTTGAAACACAAACTCAATGAGTAAACCTAACAACGTAACTACGTCCGGAATGTTCTCTCTCTCTCTGCTCATCCCGTGCTTGTATGTACATCCGTGAAGAGCGGAGAAAGCGGAGACAAGCTTCGCTTCACCGCGAACATGAACCCTTCCGATTGCGCGAGTGTCGAACCGCAGAACCCTAAGCTTGCCAGAGCTTCAAGCCTCGCCGGTGGGCTTAGGTCAACGACCGACTGCCGTTATACCGTCTGACTACCCGACTAGTTGGCTTGCCCGTTCGCTTGACGAGCCTTCGCGACATTCATGCGACCGTATGGGGAGGGCTAGATTACCTTGGTACCATGGCATCGAGCAAAACCCCGGCACAAAATGGAGTGTCGGACCTACAGATTGGGTGCAAAAAAATGCCGGACGAAATTCTTGAAGTCTCGGTCTCTGCTCGAAAGGGAAAACCTCAGGAAGGAATCCCTCTCCCGCCTGCTCTTGATGCGCTTCTTACAAGGTCATGTCGGCGGTCGAGGCTTCGGCGAAGAAGTTTTCTGCGAGGAATTCGCTCTTTAGGGAGACAAGCGGTCGACAGGTACTCCGATTAATCTTTGTCATAATCGGAAGCTCCTTGAACGTGAGCCCTCCGGTGTCAGCTCCTCGTTGAAGAGCCAACGATAATAATTGATGCAGGTCGTACATCCCTTCGAAATCGATCTTGTTTCCAATCATGGGTCTGGGCACACTTGACAATTAAGATTCCGAGCATTTCGTGGGAGACGCTTGAAGGACTGGAGGGATAATCGCTCTGACGAGAAGAGCTTACTTCCGAGTTGATACGGTAATATTCCCAGGTCTCGCTGAGGAGAATCCGATTCCCAGAATACCTCCGCGGGGCTTCCCAGATATGGAAACTAGCTGACGAGCTCAGGGGGGTCTTCGATGAATCGGTCACTTCACAAGACTTCCGAAGCCCAGTCTCAGACGAACTTGGAGCTCAGAACTGAACGTGGCAGCCAGACGAGAAGAGAAACACCGAAAGAGCCGGCTCGTAAAAAATTCAATTACGGCAAGCGGCCGAGCTAGAGCGCACATTGTTTGCCTTTTAGAGGAGCTCACTGTTGCGGTGCGCTCGCAAAAAGCAGCCTGCTTTTGTACGAGAAGCTCAGTGGATGGGGGCGAGTGGCGGGGAGGACACCTCCGCAGGTCTCAATCAGTGGAGCGGCGGGAAAATTTCGGAGGATTACAAAGGGAATTCTTGTATCCACGAAAACTGAACGCTCATATAGGACTTCCCCGGCGGAAGGAAGGAATCGACGAAGGTCGGAGCAACCACGGAATTCCAAGACACGCGGAGGAATTCACGACCCTCCGAGAATACCCACCACTGAATGTCGGCGCATTTCACAGCCCCAAATCGGTCCCCATATATTTTTCCTTGGACCCACAAATACTCACTGGGGTTCCTCGTTCTACAGTCCGGCAAACTCAGACATTTCATTTCCCAGCCAGCCGACCAGTCCGCCCGGTCGCGCTATTTCGTTGTCCGAGAGAATATGAGAGCTCTCTGCAGGTGACATTGAATTGTTTTCTTTTGATCTAGCCAGCGGGCAGCAACAGCCGAAAGCTAGTTTTGAGGTTGGGAGCAGAAAAAAAGCCTATGTCTGAGCTGCAGTCTACCGCAGGCGAGCCGGTGGATTGGCAATAGAAGGGCAACGAGCTCGAGACCGCGGGAAGGAGCGAGTAGCGGAATTAAACAATTTTTTATTCCTCCGAGCGATTTCACAAGCTCATGTTTGGTCAGAGGTCGCTCAAACGAGGTTCGTTGGCTAATGTGAGGGGGAACCGTCGCGTCATCGTTCGCGAGCATAAACAGCCTTGAGGCTTCTGAGAGAGGCGATCAAATCGTCGGAGTAGGGAGCCCGGAGATTTAGGATCGCGAAATCGATCTGTGCATTTTTCTGACAAGAACAAGAAGTGCGGTGAAAGGGGCGAATGACCGAGGACCTCCGCAGGGCAAGTTGCGTAGCCAGAGCTGCCTCGGAGGATGGACTCGGAGCGGATCCTGGCGTGCGAGAAGGAATTATGACGCCGTGCGTCGGCTAAAAGCTCCGGGGTTTCTATGACGATATTCGTCGCCGGCCGCTATAGCGACGGACTGATTGCCTATGACTCCCTCCGACAACTCCCGGCACGGGAAATATTCTAAGCGCTCATCGAATGAAGCGGCGGAATCAAACGGAGCTTATCCTCCTCTTTTGACGTCTGTTTCTGAGGAGCCGTTCGTCGACGGCCGGGATCTCAGCCGCTGAGGGACTCGGTTCTTCCTTGACTATTTGCGAATATTGCTTTTTCCAAGTCTCTCTCCGATCGCGGGGCAAAGTCGACTTCTGAGAGGATTGCGGAGTAAGGGAGCAAGCAAGCAAAGCAGCTGGGGAACGATGGGAATCGGATCGGATGAATTCGAAGGACTCGGAAAACCGGAAGGATTCGGAAGGAGGACCATCATCGGCAGCCGAAGTTCCTTGGAGAAGGAGTTTTCGTGCGTTCCTCGCGATTTCGAATGTAGATTGAATCCTGCCGTCGAGTCATGGCCGGCGATGGGGGTGGCGAGGGCATAAATTGACCGAACCGGAGGAATCATGGAACCGATCCGAGTTCAAACGGATCCTGAGGGAGCGTCCCTGAGTCTTAAGGCGGAAAAATTGGTCGAAAATCCGGGCGGTCTGCTCCGAACACATCCTGGCGGGATTGACAACATTCCCAAATCTATCTTTGAGTGTCGAGCGTTTCAATGCCTGAGGAGCAACGTGATTCTTTGATCCACAACTGGTCGACGATGCGGGCGGAGGTCGAACTGTACTGCACGGAGTAACATCTACATATATGACGCGGCGATCCGTATAGCCTCGTTCTACGACGCTTACTCGGTCTTCCGAGAAGTTAGACCAGTCTCGATGCTCAGCCGCGTGAGAAGAAAAAGGACAACAACTCTCGGCACTGGAATGTCGCCAGCTCCCCGAACAACTTCCGAAAGCAGAAACCCACCATAGCGAAAGAGATTCGCTCAAAGAGGCATAGAATGGATGAGGGGGCGTTGGAAGGGGGGATCGGGGTGCGAGGGAGGGGGGGCCTCGAGTGTGTATCGCGAGTTGCCTTGGTTTGCCTGGAAAAGTTTCACTCTTGTGCTTTCGGCACCGCTGCTTTTGCTCCCGCGTGGGGGCTGGTTAGATACTTGGTGGGTTGCTGGATGACTGGTTGGGCGAGTGAATTGGTGGATCCTGCCTTGCCCCCGTCGTCACCACTGCTGCCATTAAGGCTTGGGGACTAATTAACGCCCGAGTCAAGCTGCTGTTAAACATTTAGTACCGCCCTCGCTCGACTCTTTCGCGGGAGCCGGAACTCGCGAGACAAAAGATGGGAGCAACCCGCTCGACAACCAGAAAGTGGGAGAATAGGAGAACGACAGGGAATTCTTGGGAAAACGAACGTCGACGACGACAAGTGGGCGTGAGAAATCCGAGACTGCATATATCAGTCAAGGAGGGATGCCGTAGTAGTAAGACGAGAGTCTCATTCAGAGCTGCGATGTATCCGTCGTCGACGTTGTAGTTCCCTCCGGGGTCGGGCATTGTGCGCGTGTTAATGATTATGATGACCATGATGATGGCGACGACGACGGCGCTGACGTAATGGTATTAGGTGGCCTTCGCCGGGTTCCGGGAACGGACCGTTACAGCTTGGAATAACCGACGATGTTCTCTATTTGCAGACGGACCACAGATCTACGTATCCCCCAAGGACCAAACCGTCATAAGTGGCAAAGTGGCTTATTTCGTCTGCATGGCCGATGGACATCCCCAGCCGCACATAGAGTGGCGCAAAGGGGGACGACGGGTGTCGACGACACGTTTTTCCATCAACAATATCCCCGGGGGCTCGGTTCTACGAATCGATCCCGTCCGGGCCGGCAAAGACAACACGGCGTACGAATGCCTGGCGGAGAATGGCGTCGGAGAACCCGTTCGAATGTCGTTCTCGCTTAGAGTCTTCGAAGAGGACAGCGTGCCGAGAGGTTTTCCCTCGTTCAGCCTGCTGCCCAACATGCAGGGCGTCGAGCGGAACCGAAGTGCCGTGTTACAGTGCATGGCGAGCGGGGAGCCCGAACCGACAATTTCGTGGCTGCATAACGACGTTCCCGTCGACCTGAACAATCCGCGCTTCCAGCTCGTGAACGGCGGTGCTTTGCAAATCTCACACGCCCAGGAAGAAGACCAGGGCAATTACGAGTGCGTGGCGGAGAACACTGTCGGAACCCAGATCTCGCCGATGGCCACGCTATACGTGAAGGTGCGACGGGTCCCGCCGTACTTCTCGATTCCCCCCGAAAACCGATACGAAGTCACCCCGGGAGCGTCGTTGAACATCTCCTGCACGGCCGTCGGATCTCCGATGCCATACGTGAAGTTCCGCCTGGCCGACGGCGACGACCTGCCGCCACCGAACGGTCAAAGCGAATACCCCGAAGGACGGAACAATCTCACGCTGGAGAACATCCGAGAATCCGTTAACTACAGCTGCATCGCACAGTCGAAACTGGGAACGCTGGAACATCAGTTTCAGGTGGTCGTTCAAGCGCTGCCCAAAGCTCCGACTACAGTGATGTTCTCTGACGTGACCACGACTTCGCTCAAACTGTCTTGGAGCTACGAGCAGGGAGCTGAGAATATTCGATACTACGTCGTGCAGTACAAACCTCGAGGCTCGAACTCGGTGTTCTCCGAAATTTCCGGAGTTACTGGGACGAGCCTTTTCGTACGAGAACTAGCACCGTATACGGAGTACGAGTTTTACGTGATAGCCATGAACGACTTAGGCCGCGGTCCGCCTTCGGACCCAGTAATCGTCACCACTGGTGAAGCGGGTGAGTTGAGTTTTTCCGAGTCTCCTATTTCCCCTCTCTTCCAGCTCGACGTCGACGCATCGAGATATTCCTTCCCAGTCCGACCGTCTGATAGACTATTCCGTTAGATTTTCTCTGCAAGTCTCTCCGAGGTTCGAGCATTCACTGCTCTCTCAGCATGAGATCTCATAGTGAGCTCATGGAATCCTATGAAGAAAATCGACGCGCTGGAAATCTGTACAATGCTCATCCTTTTGCCAGAGCAGAGCTCTGTCGTGATTGACAAAATTCATTTCTGATCAGTTTCCCGGCAGTAGAAATTCCTTAGCTTTGAGTCGACTGTGGAGCGAGAACGCATCTCAATTGCGCATCTGAATGATATTCCCACCCTCAATCTTTTGAAACCTAGAAGGGACAAACTGAAGAAAGCTATCTTCGCGGAGAATATGCCAATCGCTCGTTGGCCGATCTATCGATAGCCATGCAAATGGCAAATTGATCTACTTTACGGTTCAAGACAGCTCTCTAATAATTATCGTTATTTGCAATGCCATGCATTTTGCTCCCTCAGTGGATATGCGTCGTCAAGTCAGTAAGTGAAAGAGTGTGTCTAGCATAGGACTACTCATGATAGAAAACTAGTGGAAACGGAGCATCAGTTTCCGGAGCGACAGGTTCCTCTCGGAGGACACGAGCGATCCTCCTGGAGTTATTGGGATCCCTCGAAGGCGTCGGTGCCGGCTTCGGCTGCAATCGGAAGAGATGGACGAACGCGGGGGGGGGGCTTCCCAGAGCAGTCGACAAAGCATCGCCAGTCTCTGGTCCCCCAACAGGGACATGGGGCTCGGGAAGGACTGTACATAGGGGACAGCTGGTGGAGGAGAGTCGTCAGCTGACCCGAAAAGGTCATCTCGCAGGGCTCTAGCTGTCGATGATAAATTGACTTCGTATTGTTTGGAATAGCTCCAAAAGGCAGTCGGGAGAGAAGATCGGAACTCCTCCGAGACTGGACGTCATCAGATGGGGAGCTTCATCTCTCCGAATGGTTTAATAATGGATGGTGTTTTTTCAGAGCCTGGAAGTGCGCCGAGGAATGTCCTCGCGAGACCTCTGAGCTCCAGCACGGTGGTGGTGCAGTGGGATCCACCAATGGAGCCCAATGGCCAAGTGATGGGCTATCGGATTATCTACACCAAGAATCCCACGTTGCCCGAAACAGCGTGGCAAGATTTTCAGGTGGACTCAAGTCAGCTGACGACCATTTCCAACCTCACTCCACAAGCCACGTATACCATTAGGGTGAGAAAGCTTTAGCGCGGCACAGTAGAGGAAGCATAATGGGGGAAAAAAACGAGCAAATTACTTATCCCGACCGTGTTTCCTCTCTGCAGGTGAAAGCTTTCACCGGCAGAGGCATTGGGCCGGCTTCTCCGCCAGTCCAAGTCAAGCTGCAGACCGGAGTTCCCACGCAACCGGGGAATCTCCGAGTGATGGCGACGGGTGCCACGACAGTTCAACTCAACTGGACCCGACCGACCTATTCAGCCGACAATATCGTCGGTTACATGATATACTGGAACGACACGTATTCACAGAACGAAGAGCATAAGGAAATCGCCGACGTCGAGACATACACCCTGGACAACCTGTACCCCGACACAATTTATTACGTATGGGTGGCCGCTAGATCACGAAAGGGCGAAGGGGCCGCTACTCCAGCCTTCCCAGTTAGGACGGAGCAGTATGGTAAGCTTGACGCCGGCGTCGCCGAGATCTAGTGTCTCTAGTTTTTCCTGGAATTCTATGCGGAGGATCGGGGAATTCATCGGAGACCACGTATAACAAGCGCCTCCGACATTGCGGCAAAATTCCAACTCGCCCTCGAGTCAGAATTTCATAACGAATCAATTCGTGCGCTGTCGCGACGGAGGAGTTAGTTCTGCGTTGGAATCCGAGGGGTTCTGCGATCCCTGACGTGATCGATAGAAAACTCGTGCATCGTGTGAAATTCGCGTGCAGGAGACATATACCCATGAGATTTATTTCCGATGAATCTAAGTCCGTATAGGTATAAAAAAACCTGGGGTGGCTTCTCGAGCTCGTGCACCCCTCAAAACATCAATTCTCTGCTGCCCTCTCTGAAAATATACTGTCCCATGTTTGAATCCGTGAATTCCCAAGCTTCAGTTCGGTTTGAAACGTGCACTGATTTTTGAGTTTGGCGCCGGTTCGGACGCTGTCGCCAGTAGAAGCATGCTGCAGATCATTTTACCTCTTTTATTTGAAACCAGTTGTTGGCAATCCACCCGAGGACATCGTCGGTTCCCCGATCAACTCGCATACCGTCAAACTGATGTGGCAAGCGCCGCCTGTTCTCAATCGGGCATCGAACAGCGTGCCTGTCATCTACTATAAGATCCGCTACCAAAAAATCAATGAGAAGCAGCCGGGCGGCGAGGAAATCAAAGAAATTCAGGTGAACCCTGACGAAACGTCGGCGGAAATCTCCGGACTCGATAAATGGAGTCCTTACCGCTTCTGGATAAAAGCGGGCACGGCTGTGGGCGACGGCCCCCTCTCGAAGGAGATCATTGTCACCACCGACGAAGATGGTAGGCATCTCGGGCCGCGGATCTCCAGGTGGAGATTCTCTCATACAGTCGAACTAACCCGAACGAACGAACGACCAACAGACGAGCAAGAGGAACATCGATCCACTTTTTCGGATGTTGACTAACCCACTCATTCGGAGTTGACTCACCCGGAAAAGGCTTCTTCTCGATTCCGGGCCGACTCTCCTCTCTGGTTTTGGACTTTTTACTGCCACAGCTTTCAGTGATGGTAACTCTTCCTGTCGCTGGATGCGTGCGTGCGTTTTACTCTTCCCGGGAAGACATGCATCTCTAACGATTCGGCGTCCTCCTATTTGCCCTGCCCCTGCATGCTGACTTTGCATTCATCGGTTCTACTACCGTCCCGATAGCCCAATCACTTTTCCTGTTCCTCAGGCTTCCACGCGGAGTCTTCTAGTTTTGTGGGATTGGTAGGAAAAGGATCGGAACTTATTCCCTCGCACTTAGACTACTCGAACGTTGCACTCCTTCTTTTTCTGGTCAACGGAAATCTTTTCTTCTTTATCGTCTTCGCTGAGCGGCTGTTCGCTCCCTGGAGAGGTTCTGGAATTTTCCAAGCCGGGGACAGCTCGCGAGGTGGACCGCAATGGACTTTCGGTGTCTTGATCTTGTGCTTGCACCCTTGCTTTGCGATTACTACCGTTAGGATTTAGAGTATTTTAACTTTCTTGTGACCTTGATACCTCAAAGCCGTCGAGCTTCAATTTTATGACTCCGAGACGGAATTCGCCTTTCTTGAAGTATCATTATCTTTCTTGATGACGATGATGATTACGCGGCGATTCTTAAGCCGGCGGGGCGTTCATTCGTTCCTGAATGGATAGATCCAAGGCTCCGGGAGCCTTCGGAATATACTCTCGGCGAACTTAGCCTGTGCCGGGGAATGGTCCTAACTTTCTGCTCTCTGCAGTCCCCGGAGAACCCCGCAACGTGAAATTATCTCCACTGAACAGTACGGCCATTTCCGTTACGTGGAAACCTCCATCAAACAAGGATCGCCATGGTCTGATTCGAGGTTACCAAATCCACGTGCAGGAAGTCAACAAAGCGGGTGATATGGTGGGCGAGCCGATTCGGTATGACGTTGCCGACGAGAACGCCGAGGCCTACAATGTCACCGACCTCCAACCCGACACCGAGTACAGCATTCAGGTGAGAAATCGACTCCGAGCTTCGCCACCCACTCGTTTCCTGTGATAGAGGAGCGTTCACTATCTTCGAGTCGGTGGAGGCAGAAATACTCGTGTCTCTCTCCACGCCGACCCGACTTGTCTCTGACAGAGTGACCTCCTTCCTCTCGCAGGTGGCCGCCGTTACGCGGAAAGGCGACGGCATGAGAAGCAGACCCAAGACAGCTACTACACATGGTGGTGTTCCCACGAAACCGGAGCTCAAAGCCACTGTGAAAATCACCGACGACAACAAGCTCCGGGTTGAGCTCTCCTGGCAACGACCGTCCCACACGTACGGTGAACTCCAAATGTACCGTTTACGTTACGGTCCCATGGATGGGGAACCCCTCGAGGAAACTACGTTTAAACCAGATGACTACCAAATCACAGTCGAGCGAATTTGTGAGTTCAGAAGTCGCGGTCCGACTCCAGGATAGTTTTTCGCTGACTGTCTGCGTCGCATTACGACCCAAATTCAACTCATTCCGTTATTTCGCAGCTCGAGGTGCGCGCTACGAGTTCCGCCTAGCCGCGAGAAATCTCATCGGTTGGGGCCAGGAGGCCATACAGCAGGTGACAACGCCTGAAGGAGAACCCACAGCACCGCCACACGATATCAGATTCCGCCTTCAGAGTCCGGATACGGCCGTCGTGATCTGGGAACGTCCGCCGATCGCTCATCGCAACGGCCACATTGCGAACTACATGATCGAATTCCGCAAACGCGGATCGGACTTTGCCGGAAACGACCGGAACACGTCGAAAACGAGAACCGTATTCTCGGGACTGGAAGAACGAACCGAATACGTATTCCGCATCAAGGCTTGCACCAACAAAGGGGCTGGACCCTGGTCGAAAGAGATCATAATCACCACCCCCGGAGACATACCGTCCGAACCCACGAACGTCCAGGCTGTCGCCACAAGCGACGGATCGTTCGAAGTCTGGTGGGACGAAGTGCCATACTTCGGCGTAATTCTCGGCTATAAAATTTTGTACACAAAAACCGTGGTTGAGGATTTAGACGAGTGGGACTCGAAAATAATTCCCTACTTGACGATGTCGGCCGAAATTACCGGCTTAGAGCGGGACACTGTCTATGCAATCCGGGTCGCCGCCTACCAGAAAACAGGCACGAGCGACGTCACCATTGGAAAACTCTCTCAGCAAATCACAGTGCGCACCGTTCCTACAGAAGTTGTAACGCAGCTTCGCGCATTCGGCATCACCACGCATGGCTTCATTCTCTGTTGGAGACCACCGACTCACGTTGAGTTCATCAAGTTCAATATTTCCTACTCGGCGCAGAAAGAATTCGTCGACAGTCAGGGAGACCGACAGGAACTCCCCATACCCGCACAAAACGTGCTCCTGGATGCGGGAACGGTCAACTACTCGATAAGTGCGTATTTGATGACTGGTATCACTATTATTGTGTTCTTATTCCTTAATCAATTGAGTACTCCGCGACCCGAATCCTCGAATCCTCATTTCTGTTCCCTGGAGCTTGGACCGGCTGTGATGTGTCTGATGCAGCGAGCTCCGAGCCACGATGAGGATTCATTGAGGTTATTAGTCACGCGTTGTCTAATCCGTGACCTTTTTTGTTCACAGGCGCCTTGATGCCATTCACAACGTACAAGGTGAACGTGACCGCGCTCGCCAGGAGCGGGGTGTATAGACCCCCTGCGAAAATTTCTGTTACCACAGCCATGGCCGCACCGAAACCTTTAGTGAAACCCGATTCGCTTGGCCCCACAACAAATCACGAAATCCACGTTGTCCTGCCTCAAGCATCGGAAGAGTTCGGCCCAATCAAGCACTACTTCTTGGTGGTTGTGCCCTCCGACATCGCGGGCAAGGAGCCCGACGATTATCGCATAGAAGATGTGAGTGTCCGACCATCTGATGAGGCTTCCTGGAAATTGTGGAGGAATGAATCGAAACCCCGAGAGAAAAGACACCTCAGAGTTTGATCTATGTAAATGTTTCAACGCTCGCGTCTTTTACAGCTCGTCAACGCAGCCACTGAGAACGACGGCCCGTACATAGCAGCTATGTTCCTGCGTCTTGCCATGCCCCAGGACTTCCTGTTGGGCGACGGCAAGACGTACGGAGGTTTCCGCAACAGGAAACTTCACACCTATCGCCGCTACAAGATCTTCGTCCGTGCTGTTGTGGACGCGCCGCAGAAAAATCTCTTCACTAGCAGTCCCTTCTCTGAGGATCTTGGACTCGACGTATTAACTCACTACGCCAGGAACCCGACTCGGAACCCCGAGGTTCATCCTCGACCTGCGACCCACACTGACGTGGGCTGGATCATCGGGCCAGTCCTGATAATAATCCTCTTGGCCGTCACGCTGACGTTGTTCTTCATTCTGGCGAAACGTCGACGTGGCTTCGTGCAGTCCAAGACTCCCAACGGTTGTAACGGGAACGGCACCAACAACGAAACCACCATGAAGTTGCTTCAGCCGAACGGTAGTCGCTCTATGGGAGACGTCGCCGATTTCTCGGCGTCCAATGGAGGCGTCGCCGATCCTTTGGAACTACGGAGGATCCAGACCCCCGGAATGCAAGGTCATCCCCCGATCATAGTATCAGAGCTTGCATCGCACATTGAGCGTTTAAAAGCCAATGACAACCTCGCTTTCTCGCAAGAATACGAGAGCATCGACCCGGGTCAACAGTTCACCTGGGATAATTCGATCTCCGAAATCAACAAGCCCAAGAATCGCTACGCGAACGTCATCGCTTACGATCATTCCCGGGTTGTCCTGGAGCCATTGCCCGGCATACCGGGCTCAGACTATATAAATGCTAATTATTGCGATGGGTGAGAATCTCTGCCGTTTGCCGATATATCAATGATGGACAAATATTTCTTGAGCTCATCAACCGATTTGAACTTGAGCACTCGCAATGTTCCCAGCCTTCCGCGTCCCCGAACGGATCCTATCTATGACTCTCGACTCACTCCGCTATTTTCTTCCGTTGCAGCTATCGCCGTCAAAACGCCTATATCGCTACGCAAGGTCCCCTTCAGGAGACGATCGGAGATTTTTGGAGGATGGTGTGGGAGCAGCAGAGTGCCACCATCGTCATGATGACCAAGCTGGAAGAACGAACCAGAGTGAAGTGTGACCAGTATTGGCCCAGCAGAGGTAGCGAAAAATACGGTATTATGGAAGTGACACTCGAGGACGTCCAGGAATTGGCTACGTACTGCATTCGGACCCTCAGTATCCGACGGGACAATTTCCTCGAAGTGCGCGAAATCAAGCAGCTGCAATTCACCGCGTGGCCGGACCACGGAGTGCCGGAGCAACCGACTCCCTTCCTCACGTTCCTCTGTCGCGTGAATCAAATCAACCCGCAGGGCGCGGGTCCCCTGATAGTGCACTGTAGCGCAGGAGTTGGCCGGACGGGCTGCTATACCGTAATCGATTCGATGCTGGAAAGACTGCGCCACGAAGATACCGTCGATATCTACGGCCACACAACCTGTCTGAGAGCGCAGAGAAACTACATGGTGCAGACCGAAGATCAATACATCTTCATCCACGACGCCATTCTCGAAGCAGTGATGGCGGGAGTCACTGAGGTGCCGAGTCACCAGCTTTATCAACATGTCAACCACCTTCTAACTCAGAACGTCGACGGCTCGACGAAACTCGAAGCCGAGTTCCGACAATTGAATGAAATGAAGGTGAACAACGCCAAGTTCATTTCAGCCAATTTACCAATGAACAAGTTCAAGAACCGTCTCATGAACATCTTGCCGTTCGAAGCAAGCCGAGTTTGCCTGCAGCCGGTCAGGGGCGTTGACGGAAGCGACTACATTAACGCCAGCTTCATCGATGGCTATCGGTATAAAAACGCTTACATCGCTGCTCAAGGTCCCATGGCAGAAACGACCGAAGATTTCTGGCGGATGATCTGGGAACACAACTCGAATATCATTGTTATGCTCACCAAGCTGCAGGAGATGGGTCGTGAGAAATGCCATGCGTATTGGCCCAGTGAGCGTTCACAAAGGTATCTCTACTTCGTTGTCGACCCTATCACCGAGTACAACATGCCCTCGTACGTCATGCGGGAGTTCAAAGTGACCGACGCCCGCGACGGACAGACCCGCACAGTTCGTCAATTCCATTTCACGGATTGGCCAGAGCAAGGTGTCCCCAAGGACGCGGAAGGCTACATTGATCTCATTAGTCAGGTAATAACCGTACCCTTGATTCAATGATTTCTTTTCCCTCGGGCGACTTTATTGTTCATCGTTATCAGCACGAGTCGTGCGACAGTCTCGGGACTGGATTTCAATTCCATTCTTTCCATTCTAGGTCCACAAGACGAAGGAACAGTTCGGCCAGGAAGGCCCAATCACAGTTCACTGCTCAGCAGGTGTCGGACGTACCGGCACCTTCATCGCTCTGAGCATCGCCCTCGAACGGCTGCAGTGTGAGAGTATGGTAGATTTGTTCTCCACAGTACGGATGCTTCGAACGCAAAGACCCGCCATGGTACAAACCGAAGATCAGTACCAATTCTGCTACCGAGCGTTGCTCGACTATCTCTCGAGCTTCGATCATTTTACGAGCTAAACGAGTGTGACAGCATAGCTGCCCCGACTGCGGCCGACTGAAAGCCACTCACCCACCCATAAACACATTTCAACAAGTCATATCATTGAAAGTGAGACACTTCGAAGCTATTGACGAGCAGCATATGAAAGGATCTGCGCCAGAGCATACACGCTAGCAATAAGCGAAAACAGAGAGAATGCCATCAGCATCAACCTTGCGCAATGCTTCGTGCCGTTGAGGAAACAACAGGAGCAGAACCCATAAGTTCGACGCTCCAGCATTGAACGAATCCTTAGATTCCTTAGAATTCCATTATTTGCTTGTCGTCGTACTAGCGGTCGGCCTGCTTCCGAGTGTAGGGAAGAATTTTGCGTTAGCTTTAAATTCCGTCAAGCTCATCTCAGGATGCAGAAGCTGACGACGGGAGCCGGAGGAGGACATCATTCTCGAGAATTGCGGACGGACCTCAATGCGCAAGAGGGATTGGTTGGACGCCCAAGGATTCCTATGTACAATTCCTGTGTATACAAGCGGATGGAGGGAGGAAATTCTCGATGAACCCATTCAAACTTTGGGCGGCTTTCGGCCAGAATGGCTCCTCGCGCTCGGGTTGTGCTCAACTGTTTTTCTTTCCGCGCTTCTCAAATCGTCTGGGACTTGAATGCATCCCGCTTGTGTTTCGAAATCCGGATGAATCTCCGAGTCGAATGTTTCGCCCATGCTCTAGAGTAGAGGGTCTCACTGCATACTGTAGCTCACTGATCCAATATTCTCGACAAGGAAACGTTATCGAGCAGCCAACCTAGACAGGCTTTATGTTCAACCGTGCCATCCTGCGGAGCTGTATGAGTCCGGAGATCCAGGCTTGGGACTTGGAGGTCTCATTGAAACGAGCATCGGCGGGGCCTGCGCTCGGTTTTGGGGACATTCCCCCGGAAGTGTAACCGAAAATTGTGTCCGAAGCTTACCTGTGGAAACTTTGACATTTATCATCATCGATTCGATTTGCATTCGCGTAACTTCTTTTGGTCCTTGAATTCCGGAGTGGAATTCCCGGAAGACCGAAAAGCGGAACTTCTTTCCTATCACGGGTCGGCACTCTGCTTACATATTTGGGTTGTGTGGATGAGCAATCGCCACCGGCGGGGGCGATCGCCACCAATGTTTCGAGAATATTCTATACTTGGTAAGACTTTAACAGTGAGAATAGGAGATGGAAACCGATTTTTGCCATTATCTTTTGCGCATGGATCCTGTCACAATTCTCTTTCCGAGCTGTCCTCTCTGCTGATTACAATGTAAATATTCCGAGAAGAGACCGACGACCCCTCCTTTAGTCTCTAGTCGTCTCGAGGCAGATTTCCCTCTCACCTTCGGTTGTATTATAGTCTGTATAATTTCAATGAGTTGGACTTTCTGTTCCGGTACGATGTCACGGATTCCCTGTGGGATCACTGATCATTTGAATTGACGCAGTTTCAAGATCCAGTGGGTACCTTTGGATTCTCTCTAGCGAGCTTTGTACCATATTCGCTGCAATATTCAGGCAGGAAGGTACACTACCGGAATAATAGGAAACAAAAGCTTCGGAAGACGACGACTTGGAGAAGGAGTCTACGATGACTCCCCGCATATGATCCGCGGTGCGGGCTCAATGCGAGGTGAAGGATTGGTAACAAATATGCACATATCAACAACAACAACAATAATAGTATGGTTTACAGAGAAGTAAACTATTCGATCCAATCTATATATATATAAATGTATAAGAAGATGGAGCGCATTGTATGCCTCGGCAGAGGATTTCAGAAAGTGTTGGAAAAATCAAAAATACTTTCCCAGTCGTTCGCGGCGAGATGATGCGAAGTCATCCGAATACAGAAACGGAGTGGGATAAGCTGGGAGCAGATGAATACCAATACGACTATTTATTTAACCTGATTTGTACATCATCCATCACAAATATGATGACAATTATTTCTTTCTGTAAATAAACCGTACAGCCATTATTCCTCGTTCTATTCCTTTAAGTACGAGCATTGAGAATCCAGCCAATTGTTCTCGGTCGTCTCGACCCTTGATCGCGCCGCTGCAACGACCGTTCGATCACTCGCTGATGGATCATGAATCATGAGAATATTGATGCTCAAGGCGGGGTCTAGGTCCGGAACTGGCTCGCAGGGAGAACAACGAGCATCAATGAGGGAGACCGGGAGCTCAGGGAACCAGGAGAACAGTGTCCCTCTCTTCGGTATTATCTCTCGAAGGTGCGAGCTCCGGCTGATGAAGCTAGAAGACATGATCGACGACAGATCTCGTACCAGGTTCTATCGAGTATACCTCCGAGCCCAGAGCTCGATGCTCCTGATTCCCGTGAATCGCATGTCGAGCCCTGCTTCAATGAAGCATGCTGCGAGACTCGGAGAATCCTTCCACCAGGAATATCTCTCCAGTGTTTCCCGTGCCTCTCGGAATATCAAAACGAGGCCGAATTTCGACGGCCTACTTCTCCATTCTGGACCAGCGGAGGGATACATATACTATCGCCACGCCTTTCGCCGCTCCGAAACCGGTCTTGGCTCACAATCAGAAAACTTCGATCCAGCGAAAAGAAATGAAGGTCGGCGACTTTCTGTTTTACACATAACCTATGGTCAAGAGAAAATCCTCGATTTCTGATTGGACCTTAGATGCAGGCTCGGTCTAGCGCTCCCCTTCGCAATCTCCGTATCAAACGTGTTTCGAGGTGAGAGGGCGGCCGGATGATTGAGGGCTCCCTTCCAACAGAATTCTTCCCTCCCTGCTGGAGTCACGCATCGGGTTTTGAACTCGATCCCGGCATGACGTCGTACGACCATGCTGTGGGCTACGAGCGAGAGATCGCTGGGCTTCTGAAAATTCTTTGTGAGTGAGGAAGTCTTGTAACGGAGCGTGGCAGCTCGCGCAAAAGGGATTTCCGCTCATTTGTCGATCGCGATTAGGTTCGAGCTTCTTGCGAGAAACGAGCAACTGCCCGCCTCTAGAAGCATCGGGACGAATTCGTCGAAAGTGGAATTCGCACATTCCGGGGTGAATAGAGAAAACAATTCGAATTCAACACGGATGATGTCCTTGGTCAGATTTTATTGGAACACTCGACGGTTTGTGCGGTTTCTAAGTCCCGATTACTCGGGAAGTTCTCTAGAAGCCGTGCACCTTAAGCTGTTCACTCTTCGCGATTCCGATTTTCGTTAGAAATTGACAGATGTTGTTGCGTTGATCGCCTTGCAGCTGCAGAACTTCACCGTACTCGGGATGATCGACCACTGTACCATTGCAGGCGAAGTCCTTCTTGCAAGCCCGAACGATTTTCTTCTTATCGAAATCCTCAGCGATGCCCTGAACAGTCGTGAGCGTTTTCCGGCCGTTCCTCTGCTGGATTCGAATGTGAATCAAGCCGTCCTGGACGCTCGAGCTGTCATTCCCGCGGATTGCGTCAGCAAAGGGATCAAATGACTTCAAGTTCTCGATACCGTCCGACATGCGTATATCGTGGATGACTGCTGCGGATACAAGTTTTTCGTCCCAGTCGGATACTACCTGCTTCTTGTGGAGTCAGACGGACAGGTACGGTCAAACTCGCACGAAATCACGTGGTAACAAGGAGAGTTTTGCGCAAAGAGCTGCTCCTTCTGAATTTCCCGCGAGCCAATTCCGACGACTTCTGGTTTTCCTTTCGCTGCTGCGGGGAGTGGCGAGGCTCGGCGTCACGATTCACTTTTCTGCTAGAACGGCAACAGTGGAAGGTGGTTAGTAACCTCCTAAAACTGAAACTTGGACCGGGCGGTCACACCACCGTACGCCGTCTCCTCTGCCTAATATATATCGGTAGTGAGTCGGAACGCTTCAAAAACGGTATAATGATACGTACTTCAAGTCAACGAGGAATCAGCCAAAGAAACTCGGGGGTGATATCGAACAGACGCGCAATCCGTAGACGGGAGAGTGAACGCAGAGATGCTGATGATCTTTGCTAGGAGGTGACCGGCCATCGGGCGGCCCAGTCCTGAATTCCGTCGCAGAGCCCCGGAGAGCTTCAGCTCGATACACGAAGACTTTCAAGCAGTGGCGTCCACAGGATTCGTCTTGGGGGGCTATATCGGGTCCTCGCATTGGGCTGATTTCCAACATGGCGACCCGCTCCTATACCTTAATATTACTAACTCTTAGCCTGGGAGGGGGCTATAGCCCCACTAGCCCCCTTCCTGCGGACGCGCTCGCTTTCAAGGAAGGGTTGTGCTGCACTACCCGGTCGCGTGCAGCCTTTATGTAACGTGGATGTGGCAACTGGGATCGAAGCAAACAGGAGGATATTTTGCCCGAGGGTTCCGTTGAGACAGGGTGCGAGAGCTTGGGAAATTGTGCCATCGAGTCGACCCGAGGCTTCCAGACCGATCGAAGACTGCATGAAGTCAATGGGCCTGCCAGAGATATTTATCCCAACAGACTCATTCACCCGCGACTTTTGATGGCACGATGGGACGACCTCGGTTTCGAATCTATTGTCAGCCCGATAGAGGAAGTTTCGAATCTATTGTCAGTCCGATAGAGGAAGTTTCGAATCCTTAATCAGTACCATAGAGAAGGCTCTGAGGTATCGAACTCAATCAGAAGAGGCACTGGCAGCGGAATATCTTACTGAGTTGTTCCCTATCTATGATTCCGTTTCATGTTTGGGATGTTCGCCCCATGTATTCATTATCGTCGACAAATTCGTGCTAACGTTGCCAATGTGGATGCTCCGTGTACGGCGGCAGGCTACGATGAGTTTATTCATGGAGAATGTTCTCCGCTAGTCAAATGTCACGAAACAAATTGAATCCCGGATTCTACGAGAATTCCCCTTCCAAGCCCATTGAGGTATACAATCGGCCTCAGGTTAGGATCCGCTCTAAAACTCGGGCCCAGGCTGCGGCAGACCCCCGCGTGTGAAGGATTCATCCTCGCCCAGGAGGATCGGCCATCAAGGAGCTCTCGGGTCCTCGTTGACATAATCTCAAGCGGCGAAATCAATATGACGGATTGGGTTCACAATCGCGAGTCGATGCCTACCGCGCGTATTCTTAGAGTCTAGATCCCGAGACGTTGGTCGGTGCACAGCGTACGATCTCCAGATTCGAGAAGAATTATGAGATTCTTCGTTCAAAAGTGGCAGAAATCCCCTGGCGTGTGTTTCCACGGTTTCAGCGTGATCGCCAGAATCCAGTCATTCTACGGTGCGTGCTTCCTGCGGAATCTCGACACCGGAAGCTCGAAAGAAGTGCAAACCATCGAGTCAAAACTCTACTTCACTTATTATTGGTTCCTGAAAGCTCTCGGATTCACCACCACGTTCCTGATAGGACTCATCCTCATGGCAGTCCTCCCGCAGCTATCCTCATACGCTAAGCTGAATATGACCCTCATGGGTTTTTTCGCCTGGAGTACGAGCCTTGAGGCTTTCGTTAACACTTATCTTATGAGGACCCACCGCTCGAGTTGGATAGAGATCCTGGCCAAATGCGAGCGGATCGAAGCGGAAATTCGCGCTGATCGAGAAATGAGCCAGCGTATGCTCACATCTTCGAGAAAGATCTTAGTCTTGCAGGCGATCATCGTCGTGTTCAATCTATTCCTGAACTGCCTGAACAACTTTTCCCTTGGCATTATCCAGCACGAGAAAGCCTACCAGGACATAGGAAATGCGGAGTATGTCGCAGTGGTACTGTGTAGCCTTCTTTGTGGTTGTCTCGTACCGTCGAACTCAACAGTGTGTCGACTGTGGATGATGTATTTCGGAAAACTCTTCGGAATCTACTTGGATCGGATCAATGACGAGATCCGTACCGTTTTCGACCAGCGTGACGCGAAACTGTCCGAGAAGATGGAGGTTTGCGATAAGATGCGCATAGCCCTGAATAAAGTTCGCGAGGTTGCCGATATGGTGTCGAATCTGATCGGATTCGCGATCTTCTACGGCTACGGCTACAGCATTCCCCTGTTGGCGATAGCCGGATACTTCATGACGAACCCGTGCATGAGTTTCTGGGTTCGGCTGTATTACATCATGTTTGCCATCGCCCACCTGCTGAGCATCCTGATCCCCACAATGATGTCGACGTCGTCCAGCGCAGTGATCGACAGCCTCAAGGAGACGATCGAGACCGCTACGCTCCACGATTGCGGTCCGGAGTTCATGACTTCGCTCGGGCTTTTGGATAGGGCAGCTGTGAGCGAGGATTATAGGATCGATGCCTTCGGTTTCTTCAAAGTTGACTTGCCCATGTTCACTAGCATGGCCGGAGCTGTGGTGACCTACACGGTGATGATGGCTCAGATGAACTCCCAGCTTCACACTACCCAGACCCGCGCGAAAAACAGCACCTTGTCCATCGCAGTCAACTTGACCACGGCTCTGGTGACGGTCGCCAGTCCTACAGAGGAACCAAGACGGTTCCTGACGCCGATCTCATCTCGCGCTGCCAATTTGACAACATCATTGGCACCCAGGAGGAGCACCGCTCTGACAGCCACGAGAAGTACCCGAAAGCCATTTTTCCGCTGGCAAACCGCTTGAGCCTCGACAACCTGGGTATAGCAAAGAGGGGACATCTATTCTTTCTTCCCCCTAAGCTGTGTGTAACAGTCCATTTTTCGATCTCGAATTCCGCGCCCGAGCTGTGTCAGTCAGAGGTCTGAGTGAGGCAGTTGCCTGACGCACCAGAGGGCGAGGGAAAGTGGAAAGAGAATCGATTTCCGGGTCTGTTTATGTTTTGATCCTCGACACGTAGAGACAGAGACGCGGTTCATCATCTTCACAAAATTCGTCGCGATGATTCCGTAGGAGCATTGAAGGGATTCTGTGCATTCCCCCAACCTTTTAAGACGTGAGTTGCTCTTATGAAGACTGGTTCTATCCACTTGTGAGGGCAGAACCTTTCGAGATTCAAGCGCTTCCCGGTGATTGCGAGAGTCTCGGCCGGGAGCCGGGAAGAGAATGAAGAAACTCAACTCCAGAACTGTCAATGCCCATCGCGGAACTTGAGCACTAGTAGATCTTAGCGTGAACATAGTAATCGATTCAGACTAATAAGGAATCGCTCCTGTGTCCACAGAAAATTTTGTGCAAACGATGTCACTAACCGAAGAGGAGGAGATCGCTCAATGGGAGGAGATTCTCAAAGACCGCTATACGGCTAGGGATAGCGCTTATATGGAGCATCTCTCGAAGCCCCGTCAGGGACCACCTGTCGTCGAGAAGTGGTTCCCCCGAGGGATGAATCGCAAAAGGTAAAATTTGACCGTGACTCCTCCATCCCTTTCCGGCCGCCCAGTATGTGTGACCTCCTGTCGAAGGAATTCAATCTTTGATTCGAATGGAATTTTTTTCAGACCCGCGAGGAGAGACGATCGGGGATACGGTGAAGGAGACAGAGGATACGGCGGACGAGACAGGGGATACGGCGGAGGAGACAGGGGATACGGCGGAGGAGAAAGAGGACATGGAGGCAGCGATAGACCGCGTCACGATGAAGGCGGACCTCCAGAGAAGAGAAGAGCCTATGACGATCGCTATCATCGCTCTCGTTGAAGGATATTGTTAATGCGTAATAAATATTGAAGTTCGTTCTTGTGAGAAGCTTCTCGGATCTTGATCGATCCAGGGAGATGGACGGCGTAGGAGTCTTCGAGAGAGCGATTGTACCTCTGGGCCCTGACGAGAGGAGCTCATATCCAGCTCGAGACGCGCTATGAGAGAGAGTCGAGACTTTGCGGAAGTGTCGCTATCGATTTGTTTCAGGATTCCCCCGTTGGCCTGACAGTGGCAGCAGACGTCGAGACTTACTTAGAACGAAGGTTTGAACCGCCAGCTCAGGCTGAGAACCTCCTTGGGGTAGTACCGTTCCGAGGAGTGCTTTAATGGCATTCTCCCGCGCGATCTCTCTCGCTCATTCAGCTGCGGAAGAATGCAGAATCTGGCAGGTGAGTCGAGAGCAATCTCGCCGTGATCCCCACGTACCCGAATGAAAGAGAGTTCGCGGCATCGACGAGACTTCTCCGTGGAGTTGATTCCCGGAAGAGGACGACGTCGTGAACGAGCGGAAGCTCGTCATTCTCCCAGCAAAACTTCGGCCATACAAGACCATCGAGCGAACCAGCGCTCTCCCAGGAAGCAATCAGCTGAACATCGTTTCACCAATATTATCTCGGGTCGCGCGTTCCGAGACCCCGGAGCATTTCGAGTCGCCCATGAGGTCAGAATGGGCTCCGATGTGGAGTTGAAATATCCCTGATTTTTTCCTCATCCATTGTAGCTCGGATCTACTGCCTTGAGAGCTCCCCATGAATTGTCTCAGAGGATTCTTGATAGGCGCCCTCAGGAGCTGGACTGTTCGAATAGCGCTCAGGATGTACGGGATACAACTGGGACTATCAGCTAGACCGGTTCATCTCGAAGTGGTCCCTCTGGAGCCCCGAGGGTCCACGGCGATCTTGGGGGGTCCTATGGGAAGGGGTTTGCAGGGTTCCCGGATCTAACATGAGGATGCATAGAGGGTCCACGGCTTGGATGCCTTTGGGACCTGGAACCTAACGATCCAGAACCTAGACTCACGGCGATGGCTCATAGGATGTGATTGAGCAGGACCTCCCGCTCAGAACCATATTCAGCTTTCTCGAATTCGCAAAGGAGTGAGAAGTCAGTTTCACATTCGAGAGTCGACGACACCCGCGTTCACCGACGACGGCTATTCACGGCGCCACGAGTTCGAATCTCTCCTCCGCCATGCTGACTGACAGTCGCGTGGAGAGAGACAGGCAGAGATCATCACGAGCCCGTAACCAAACAAAAAGACCCGCAGAACTGAATTTAAAAGCTAACTCCAAAATCATAAATTCTTCCTCGGTGCTACATGTTCGTGAGGCCCACCTCCGACTCCGGACTGAGACGAGAGCAGCTGCCCGAAAACACCTGAATCGTCGATGACACGATCCTTGTTCTCTGTGCTCTCGACCTGACGCGGGAAACAACAGCGCTCTGGCCAGGACACAAGCCGGTGCCGTGGATTCAAAGGATCTCGATCGATCCTGCAAGGGTACGTAGCTATACGCCTTAGGTCTGGAGTCCGCCATTGAAAATCCATAGCTGCTTGGATCGAAACATCAGATTGGAAAGTGCGGGATCCTAAAAGTCTCGGAGTCCCGCGAACCTCTCCCGAGTCTCGAGAGGGCTGGGCTATCTCCGACTCGACTTGAGTGAGAACTTCTGAGTAAAGCGGGCTTATTTCCGGAAGTCGTCTAGGGTCGAGGGGTTTCTCATTCGCGAAGAAGCGTCCGTTTTACATGGGCGTGTCTCTCAAACCGGTGTAGAAAGAGATGTATCAGATCCATCAGAGCATCGAGGTGTTGAAACTCAAGGAAATCACGGAGGAACCTATATTCGATTCCTACGGAGGGAGCACGTTTCCAGGGGACCGAGCCGAGCTGATAGCTGCATAAGGAGCCGGAACTCGATCGCTGAGCGGAAGAAACCGTCCCGATGGCCGAGACTCCCCCAGAGCAGCTGCCCCCTCTGCAGTATGCGGCGCTTCAATCGCGCTTGCCTTATGAAACCCTGACGGCACAAGAGAGCGCTCTCTTCGCTGACGTTCTCAAAACGAACTCCGCGACAGTGACGAAGCTCCTGGTGTATATTCGCAACAGAATCATTCAGCTATGGCTAGAAAACCCAAAACATCAACTCCTCATGGAAAATGCAATCAAGCAACTGGAAGCGCCTTTTACGAATCAAGACCGACCCCTGGCGCAGAAAATGTTCGCTCACCTGGAACGACAGAGTTTCATCAATTTCGGCGTCTTCGAGCGCATAAAGGTGAATACCACATTGGCGGATGCACGGCTGTCCGCCTCAAAAACTCCCCGATGGTTGAGTACGAAAACCCGAGCGAAATGCGTCAGCTCGGGAACTACAATGAGGCGGGATACTTTCTCCCCGGCAGGTTCCGAGCCCTCCGAACAAGAAACGGATCATTGTCATAGGTGCAGGAATCGCGGGAATCACAGCGGCCCAGCAGCTGACGTTCTTCGGCTTCGACGTCGTCGTACTGGAAGCTCGAGACTACGTGAGTGACTTTGTATCGGAACTTGGAGGGGTCCTCTCCATCGATTCGATGTCCATGAGACTCGTTCAAGGTACTTCGCTTTGACGAGCCACTTACAGTATCGAATTACGAGGGGGCGCGTGGTTTTTTCAATAGGTCGGTGGGAGGATAGCTACGTACAAACGCAACAACTACATCGGAGAGCTCGGCGCAATGGTCGTCGCCGGGCTTTTCGGAAACCCAATCGCCGTCTTAGCGAAGCAGATACCGAATTTGGACCTCCAGGCAAGCAGTTCCGCTCATCTCGACATCTCAATCAAATTGTACTTATATCGTTACGGAATGAGGCGAGATGAGGCCAGCTTTCCCACTTCTGACAAGCGAACGTATTCCACAGGACGTCAAAGCTTTGGTTCAATTATTCGACCCGACAGGCAACAAATTGGCGCAGGAAAAAGATCACAGGGTAAGTTGCCGTCGGTTGAACCTCATCACTCATCGGAGAGTGGCTTTCCTTGCACACTTGAGAGACATTCCGGAAGCTGAACGTAATCACGTGTCTTCGGTGATTAATGTATACTCTACGAAAACTCTCGCAGGTCCACCAAGAATTCCTTCGGCTTTTGGAAGCCTCGAGCTATTTGTCCAAAGAGCTCGATTTCAATTATGTCAACAATCAACCCATCGCTCTGGGCCAAGCTCTGGAGTGGCTCATAAAACTACAGGAGAAACGAGTCAAAGAGAAACAGGTATCGTACGATTTCCCGTCGAGGTTCACCCCGTATGTAGGTCCTTCCGTGCTGAGCGTGTTCTGAAGCCGCAGACGATGCTTTTTTTGAGTTCGGAAAAAGCATTGGCACATAGCTCACAATTTGAACTTCTTTCGAAGGTTGATCATTGGAAAAACATAATCGAATTGCAAGAGAAGATGAAGGCCAATCAGAGAGCGATGCGAAATCTGAAGGAGCACATGGCGAAAATTTTCGCGGCACAGAAGGATCTCGGCGAAACGAAGAGTCAGCGCAGCATCAATGAGGAATTCATCTTCAGGTGGGTCATGAGGAAATCTATCCATGTATTGCCTATCTTCCATTTTGGGAAGAATTATATGTGACGTGAATATTTAATCTTGTCCCCTTCTAGGAGCAAAATCTACGACCTGAAGCAATGCGTGAAAGAATGGGAGACCTTGAACGAGGAGCGCGCGAAGATGGAGAATAAATTAGAAGAACTAGAAAAGAACCCACCCACCGACGTGTACTTGAGCGCACAGGATCGTCAGGTCAGTTTCCATGGCGTAGCGAGAGAAGGAGCTTCAACACCGAAGAAGGTTTGGCAGCAAACCGATGCCTGCTGTATTCAATATTAATTATCTCCGCAGGTACTCGATTGGCATTTTGCGAACCTCGAAAGTGCGAATTCGGCCACACTCGATGATCTTTCTTTAAGAAATTGGGACTTGGACGAAGAATTCAAGGGCTCTAATAAAATGATCAGGTGAGCTGATTGAATCCTCCCAGCTCTATACTAGGATTGTATGGTCTGCCTGCTGAGGCGGATCCTTCTCCGGAATTTCATTTTGGAATGCATAGGAACAGACGAATGATCTCCTTCTCCCAACAGGAACGGTTTCACTGTGATCCCGCTCACGATGTCTCGAGGGCTGAATGTAAAACTCAGCACAGCGGTCAAACAAGTGCGATACACGAACGAAGGAGTAGAGGCGAGTCTGATCGTTCAGTTTCGTATTCCTCTCGATTATGCGCGGAGGTACCTACCACGATTCGGAGAGGAAGCTCAACCGATTCTAATCTGGAATTCCTCCCCGCAGATCTTGGCGCAGTCCACGAAGTCTCCGGGAGCGGAAGCGTCGCCTTCGCTTGAGACCTTCACTGGAGACGCTGTACTGTGTACTCTGCCGCTCGGAGTTCTAAAACAGACAGACCCGTCGAAGAGTAATGTGGTCAGTTTCCTCCCCTCGCTCCCCGACTGGAAAATGGCTGCTGTGAACAAAATGGGCTATGGGAATCAGAACAAGGTTTGTGGATCCGAGTCAAGCGGCTTCCGTCCCTTTATCAATCACAGCAACTCATGATACTGAGGCAAGTCCTACTGTTGAGGACGTCTGTGGAGCCTGCGAACTTACTCGGCGTCGATTTATCGGACTCAGGTTCTGCTCGGATTCGACAAGATATTCTGGGAGCAGCATCTTCCGGTCTTCGGCCACATCGGTTCAACCACAGCCTCGCGCGGCGAGCTGTTCACGTTCTTCACGATCTCACCAAAAACTCCTGTACTCTTGGCTCTCGTGTCTGGGGAGGCTGCGAACATCATGGAAGAAGTGAACGATGACGTCATCGTAGGACGCTGCATAGCGGTCCTCAAAGGAATGTACGGTCTCGGTAATGTTCCTCAACCGAAGGATACCGTGGTGACGAGGTAGGAGCGTATGGAATAACAGTCAAGGTTATCCTGACTGCGAATGGATTCAATCCGATCCGAGCAGCCCAGAGAGAGATTTTATCTGATGATTTTTGTCTTCCCAATGCGTCGATAAGGTGGAAGAAAGATCCTTATGCTCGAGGCTCCTTCTCCTATGTGGCCAAGGGCGCTTCCGGACATGAGTTCGATCAGCTCGCTGAGCCGGTCTGCGTACCTTCTACAGAGAACGACCGTAAGTAGATATCCATCCCACCCTTCCTAATTCGTTATGTGGCAAGCAGTTCATTCCTCGGTGAATTAGGTATCCGGGAAAATTAGATAGTCCTTATAATCCCTAATCTATTCCACAGCACCTTCGGCGAAGCAACCGCGGCTGTACTTCGCCGGGGAACACACGTCTCGGAAATACTTCAGTACGGTTCATGGAGCCCTGCTCAGCGGTCTCCGCGAGGCCGCGAGGATTGCCGACACATTCCTAGGTCCCGTTTCGACACCAAAACAGTAAATCGATGCCTAGGTATCCCGATCCCTGATCTTTGTAAATTAGGAGCCTAAGTCAACTAAGTGGCGACCATTTGTCACTTCGCCCATCGCCGTCGATAGGAGAAGATTTTCCTGATACCTCGAGAAACTTGACCTCAACGTGTCGACTGTTCGCTTCTCGGGAGTTCGAAATTATCGAAAAATGTATTTGAGCCTCAGCATTGGTTCCCGGTCGTACTGGGGACATTTCGTGATATCAACGAAGTCCCTCTAGCGTGGAGTCGGGACGGAAGAACTGATCGTGACCATCGATTTTTTGTGTGGAGAACAAGCGCACGCTATGGGCGTTTTTCTCGGTGTCGAAAGTGAATAATTTATGCGAAAATCACACATGGACTGAAGACAAACGGAATGTGAGTATAAACAGATGGAGGAGCGCCGCCACGAATCAATGGCGCTCATGCTAGTGACATCTGGAATAAATGAATAAACTCGAAGTGTGGATGACGTGACCCGCTGGTAGTCTCTCAGACCAATTGTTACCGTTTGCCATGGTCTAATCCCCGGGTCTGGAAGCGCGATACGAATTCATCGAATGCTCTGGAAGCTCAGTGGATAGCCCCTCCCGCGAGGGACAAAGAACCTTGCCCTCTGAGCCTGAGCTCACTCGAAGTCATGTCCTCGATGACCCTCCACGAAAAGCTCACGAAACTCCCGGAACGACACTCCTGAGCAACGCAGCGATAAGCATTAGGTGGAAACGAAGTTTATGCCGAAAGGGAAATCGTGAAATGATAAAGAACATTGGGAAGTCTAATCCTCCCTCGTCGTCGTTTGGTTTCGCTGTCCCAACATCGCCGGGCAGCGGCAGATTCCTCCTCCGGAGCCCTCGGAGCGTCAACCCGCTCGTCAATATCTATTCGAGGGGAAAGTACGATATTATTTTCTTTTCTGTGATTCCTATAGTAGCCAGAGAAGACTTGCGAAAGATATCTATTGGCTGCCTCGAATGCGCTCAGGACGCCCCTCATGAGTTCGATGAATTTTTCCTAGGGTCGACAAGGTTGCATGCGCCATCGCCGCATCTGTCGCGCTTGCTCTCGTCTGCTCAGTCGCTCTCTTGGTGTCTTCGTCGGAGGAATATCATGCAGCCCCTCCGGCAGCCGATCTCCCTCCGGAGGAACCCGCGTGAGTTAAAATTGCTCTCTCACCAGCATCCTTGCTCGAGCGTTAGGCTGAGTCGCGAAAGCCTTCAAAAGACAATTAATCGGAGGATGAGTTCGACTGTCACCTTATTTCATGTTTATCCTTGGGTCATAGTCACCAGTTATCGGTCGATGACCCTCTGGAGGTCATATACGTCATTCAAGTCCGCGATCGATCGGGTTTCTGCCCAAGAACTGAATTATGGAATTATTTTCCGCAGCGAGGCGATGCATCCTCGGGTAGCTGAACCCACTGGTCACCAAGATGCAGAACGAACTCCTCCGCCCCTCGACCGTTTGGAAGAATAAGGAGGCGATTCGAGATCTACGCTGGAATCAAGGGGGACGGGTCACGCAGGAACGTTCCCGGGAGAGATTTTCATTCATCCGTCCTCTTCTCAGCTTCGGGAGTTTCAGCCAGATAACATAGCAAAGTTCCCCGAGACTCCTCCGCAGCCCCCCTGTGTCCTTCTCGATAATTGACGATTATTCATTCCGAAAGCTGAGATCGGGAGCAAAACCTGTGCGATGCGGAATCATCTTGTACGCTTGTATCTCGAAGTCTTGCGTTGTCATTTCCGCATCAGAAGCTGGACGGTCGCAGTTTCATTCGACATGATCTGAGTAGCTCACTATTTACACTCACTACTCTGATTTGGCTCGATCAATGGGTTTGAATCTGATTCAGGAGAGAGCTGCGCGTATCCGTATCGGAATCTTCCCGTGGGGGATGGTCCAGTTTGTTTCCTCGCGGAGTTTCACTCGACTTGCATCGGCTTCCGTTTTACAGTGAGTCGTCGGCACGCCTGAAACTTCCAAGCTCCAAAGTACCACCATACTGGAACAAATGATCGACGACTTCTCTGCTGATGGTGAGCCCTCTGAGCGTCATCCGCCTCCGCGGCCACATGATTCCTGAGGTCTCGTTCGCAATCGCTAGTCGCCTGCAGGCCCTAGAATTTTCGAGGACGGTTCTTCGCGATTTTTTCCGTGATCATCAGAAGAACGGCGTGTGAGGCAGGGTCGACAGTTTTCGGTCGACCAATCACAACTTGGTGATCTCTCACATCACTCCCGTAGTCGATGCGAGATAGAGCATGGAGACTCACTGGCCGAGACTACTGGACTCGTGCTTCTCACGTGAAACGGTAGCTTCATACAACTTCCTGGAAATTTTTCGATGTAGCGGAGGATTTACTGGAAAGTCTCGCGAGAAGATGCATGGTGATCCAGCGATGAGGATGTCAAATATAGCCATAGCGACGCTGAGTCGCTCTACAGTGGTAATGCCGGGGTCTGCCAACTGCATGAATCATGGATGAGAGACCTCTAGGCGCCATAACGATTGCTTGCGAGGAGTCCCGTCGCCCATGTTCTTGAAACAAATATCCGGTGCGATTTCCCCTTGAATAATGCGGGCAAGAAGCCGATTGGGGCGTTAGTGTTCAGAATCTGGCAGCTCATCACTTCATCCGCTGTCCGACTCGCTGATAACGCGCATTCTGCTCCTCAAGTACCAAATTAAAACGAAGTTCTGACCTGAGCTTTGGATGATTCGGTATTGACGCCGTTGTATTTGAAATGACAAGAAACCGTGAAGACTCGATGCTGCATGCTTCCGGTAGGAAGCGATCGCCGGGCAATCGTCGTAGTTCACCACGGAGTCCCTCGAGTCCCGTCAGTCCAAGAAGCCCCCGGAGTCCTGGAAGGTCCCCGCGAGGTCGGAGCCCCCGGAGCCCGCTCAGCAACACTGACTCGGGAGAAAAGTATGGCTCCGGATTTTCATGTCAGTCGAGTTTTCCATAAATGCTTCTCTCCGCAGAAACCTCCTACCTTCGAGCACCTACTGTAACTGGCATCGAAAACTTTGTAGGGAAGGCAGCAAAGCCCCAGCGATCGCTTGCTGTATTGCGACCCTTGTTATTTTGGCGATCGTTACGTCGGCGTTCTCGTTCTCGGCGGCATGGTTCGACGAAAATCCGAAGACCCCATCGAACTGGTGTCCCGAGCTCCTCACGCGCGAGTTTCAGCCGGAAGAGTTCGAAATCAGCGTGAATCACAGTCGCATTACTGGTTTCGTTAGGGAGCCGGAATACTCCGTCGCGAATTTCGTGCGTACATTCCCTCGGTGAATCTGAAATTATCTCCCAAAAGCAGCGAAGGTGATGTCATGCTCGGGGTTGGTTGCACATGACGCCGATGCATTCCTCAATGTCGAAGCGTTCGCTTTCCAGATGCGGGTTGAGCTCAAGTGGTATCTGACCACAAGCGACCTCAAGTCCGAGCCGATTGTCGCATTCGTCGTACGAGGGTCCAATTCTAGCTTAGGCTTCATGATCGACATCAGCACGCGGGAGTTCAAAGCCGTTCCTCTGGATCTAAATCCAATGTAATTCCAGAAGAGCTCGTGATCGGTACTCTTCTCGAGTTTTCTCAGACTCGATTTCCGAGCCGGCATTCGAGTTCCTCGTTTTCCCCGACGAGATTCATCATGTATGCATCAGCTCTGTGGGAGCTGATTGACTTTATCTCCCGCCAGATATCTCCTCGATCAATTGAAGGAACGCCATCCGAAACAACGAGCAGCTGCCAGCCTCAACCTCGAGTTCGTGACGCCGTTCAAGATAGCTATATACGTCAGGGAAGACTATCAAGACAGAAGGATGACCATGGAACTCTACGACAGCGTTCCGAAACTTTATACGAATACGACTTTGCTGACCAAGCTCTACCAGGTTGGATGATCTCGTAGTTTTTCTCCCGGGAATGAACCCAATGCGAAGCTTTCCTGTGGTGCAACGGAGTTAGGTAGCTCTTCTAGCGGAGAACCTTCGGTAACGATGTTCTGAAACTTCAACTTGTCCCCCAGTTCATGCCTAGGAAGCCTAGACCTGCTATGGACCCTTTGATGTACGTCATCACGGGCATCATGAAGAATGAAACGAAACCGGAAAAACCGATGATCTCCTACACACATGTTGGATGCAGCGTCGATAGGAAAAGCATCAGAGACGGACGAGCTTATTTCGAGCCATTATGCAGGTGAGCTCGATCGCTGGACCGTCAGTCATTGATTCAGGGTCTTACATTCAACCTTGGGAGGTTGCTCCGGTATTCGGTCATCTCGAGGAGCGATTCCTGTCCCCGCGGATATTGTGAGATGAATGATTATTATCGATATGGACACGGTAGACAGCTGGTCTCACCCTTCACAGATCGAGGAATCGCGGAAGATTCTACGTTTGCAGACTCGGAGACAGGAATCTGCCTGACTGACGTCAAGGACTCCGCTTAGGACTCTTGAAACTCTCGGTGATAAATTTTTTTTGTTCTCTGCTCTGTCTCCTTTTCTCTTTGTACCTTTATGCATGTCCTGCTCAAGTTTTCGATCCGAAGTGCTACTGATCCGGAGCCCGAATCCAAGACATGCTCGTGTGGGACGGCGGTTCGAATGAAGAGAGCCAGCTTACTTTAAGATCGACTCCTCAAAAACATTTATTTACATGGTCGAGGGAGCTGCAGTTCGCAAGATCCGAACAACTTCAACAAAAACTGTATATTTTCGTGGAAACAGGAATTATTTAAGGAATGCCGAGGGAACCGGCGCTTTGTCTTTGTTCACACTCAACATTGTATCCATTCGATACGGATATCTCTCTCCATAACATTCGACGCTCGAACGTCACTGGTGACGGTTCTTGCATAATACCCCACGGCCTAAGCTCGAGGGCGTTCTAAATTATCGTCGACCCAATTGTCATATCCTAAGGAGCATGCAAAGCTGTTGCATGGTCTCCTGATCAGACCCTTCTGGGTTTCCTATATCCATGATGAGTGATCAAAATACAAGAACTCACTAAAACAATAGGCACCCATCTCCGAGCTCTAAATGAGGAGTGTGTCCGAGCTTCAGAATATTTCCAGAAGCGGCCGGAGACATCCGACGGAACTGCTGGGGAGGGAATAGAAGAAAATGTCACAAGCATTGGATTATGCGGATGAGACGTAAATCACACGGCTGTTCTCTCTTGATAGACAACTTCCATGTTGTCGGGGAGTCCCAAACGGTCTTCGTCGTCGCGATTCGATTTCCGGAGCGATCCAAACCCTCCACGAGGGAGCCCGAAGGCTGCGATAGCCTGAGCCAAGTCTTTGTTCATCCTCGTCTTCTTCTTGATGGTACCGTTGTAGTATGAGGAATCCTGAAAATTATTTCCGTCTGAGATTACGAATATTCCCTCTCCAGTTCTTCGAGTGAAGGCTCTCGACTGGCTTACGGTCTGAGGTATCCTGGAAGAGAATGGTGGAGAGCTGCGACCTCTGAATTTGCACACAGGTTCGGATACGACTCGAGTAATTACGGCCCCTCGTGCGTACAATGCGAGGCATTCATGCGTACGCACGCCCATCAGATTTTCTGTCGTGAACGACTTCGCATTGTCAGCGAAAAGACCGCGAATCTTTGTTTATCTCTTTTTCTTCCCGGGTGGGCCTTTGTCCCACGATCTTCTAAGTATTTTCTTCGGAGCCACGAATGTCCGGCGCTTTCGGCGCCGGCACGTAAGATTCCACGGTTTCACTGACGACATTTTCATTTTTATCCGTCACTCGTGAACTAACAGGATGTTAGTCACAACTCATTACGCCTCGACTGCCCGGATAATTGCTTGGCTATTCGTCTTTTGAAACTCGGGAGTGTTGCTCATGAAACTCATCGCCTTAGCTTGAAGCAAATATCACGCGGTACTTGCAACGGTACCACGTTAGAGACACGAGACGTGGATCGGATTATGCAGAAGTACGAAGTGGATTCATATGCTGAAATTCAGAAGTTTCTTGCGGGGATCAGAAGGATAATCTTCGATGGGAACTCACCAGAACTTCAGCTTTCAGAGTTATCCCCGAACTCGCGAAGGCACCATCCACCGATGGTTGTCGAGGACGGGACGAGACAAGTTGGGGGAATATCTGTTGAGCCCCATTCGCGCTATGCGAAACTTGAGATGCCAAATCCGTCGTCCAAGCGGGTCCTATTGGCGTGTGGAGTGCAGCGTCACCGGCCTGTCGATTCAAAAACGTGCACGTTTCAATCTCGATCCGAGACGAGAAATAGGAAATTCGAAAGACGAGAAATCCGATAGGGAATTCTTCGAAGTCAGGCAACGAGTCTGGACGTGAATGCAAGAATAGAATGGGGGTGCGAATAGGCGCCGAGATGGATAATTCGGCCTGATGACCGTGCGACATGAGTGTTATGAATAGATGGTCGGTCGGTCGTTCGTTCGACGGAGCACCATTCATTGCTCTTTCTGACCGCCGTTCGGTCGTTTCTTCCTACGGGGAGCTAGCCTTGGAAACCTTCCCTGAAAACGGAAGTATTTTGTCGAGAAAGACTTTTTTCCTCCGACGGAGTACCGCTCGTTCAACCACCCTCAGCTCCCTTGCCCGAAGTTCAACACCGCCGGTCGGAGGACCGATACGTTGACGCAACGCACTCACTCGCACACGCATGCATGCCGAAAGCCCACTGGAAACATCCAAACTATGAGCCACCGGGCGGTGACGACAACGGCGCCGATGGAGCTTATTGTTATGATTTTCTCGGTGATGAACGTTATTGTCTGTGTGATGATTCTGTGCTTGAAATGATCCAACGATCGGACATTCAGTCGTCATCTATCCATCCTTCCGTTCATTTATCTATTCACTCAGTCGGTCATTCATACATTGATTCAGCATTCGCCTTCACCGCTCCAACGGCTTCCCATGCCTTCCACTTTCCTCGACAAGGTCGCTCCCATGTATCCATCGCGATGCACAACTGTTCCGGGTCGTGAACGATCTTTGATCATCATCCCTTTGTTGTGAACGGATACACCAGTTGTTGTTGTTGTGTCCGGCATAAAACTATTTCCCTGAAGACGCCGCTCAGGTCCACAGCTTCATCCGTTCGCGGCGTCAAAGTCAAGTGCACACGTCGACCTCGACGGATTCGTCCATTTGTACGCCGCGCTACGTTACTTTGTATTTCAACAATGCGACTGACACATGTATGCACGTGTTCACCAACAACTGTTCCACTCTGGATGGGTCCGGATTCGACAAACAGATAAGTTGCCTCATGAAAGAGATCCAAGCAAAAATCGATGCGTTCGCCTTCTTTTGGGACAGATTCCAGAATGTTTTACAGCTTGATAAGAATAATAAATAATGGCGTGATTTGTTTTTCTGTTCTGGGAGAGGCGATCGTGTTTCGATCCGGTTTACGTTTCGCTGATTCGTCGAGTTTGTCGTGATGTTCGACTTGTCAAGGATCCTTAAGGGGGCTGTTTTTTTTCCTCGCAAAGCTCCTCTCTGTGGCGGTCTTTGTCGTTGTCGTGCCAGAACAAAAGGGGACCTCGTCAATCGGACCGACCGACCGACGTCGGCGTCGCCGCCGCCCGCTTCTTTATCGAACGGACTTTTACTCGAGCTTCTGTTGTTTTTAGTTATGCTCCTCGGTGAGTTCTGTGCCGCTTCAAGCGGCCACTTGGTCGGTCAGCTTCGCTCGTTCGATTCTCTTCGCTCACACAAAAGGGGTGTTAACTGCGAGCAAAAAGGAAGGCTCGCATGCGTGTGCGCGACTACGGAGGGTTCGGACCGATGTCGAAGACTATATCTCGCCTTGTCATCGAGCCTTGAGTTGCGGACAGCGCCGGGACGCCGAGGTTTTTATTAAAGATCTCAATCGTTCGTATTTCAGACGAAAGCGTGAGACTCCCTTCGATTCATCCGATTCCAGTGAACTCTCTGAACTCATGAAAAACTCACAGAAATTGAAAAGCACGATACCGCTGAGGGGTGGAGGGTACGACGCCGACTCTGGAGTGGAAGACGAGATGCGGAATCAACTAGCGGAGCTTAATCGTTCCCATTGGTCTGACCGAATTATACTCAAAATTACTCGATATCAGAACGCTCTTGTTAGTATGGGAAGGGAGCTCGGTGGGATTCATTGCCGAAGGGGCACCAGCTCGAGTGGAAAGGCTGGAAAAGTGTCTTGCAGGAAAAGGGAGATCATCAGAATTGTCTAGGATGCCCGTCTGAGCCAGCCATCCAGCGAACCAATCAATGGCCGACCATGAGCACGATCCGAGAGTCTCATTCATCCGCCGACCGGTCCGGTCATCTATATTCACAAATGAGGTCTTTCTTTGATTCACCACCGTTGAACTTACAGAAGTTGAGCTTTTCACTCCGAACGTCGATGACAGATATTACGTGAATGCATGCGGCAGCGCCGGCGAAATTTGATCGACAGCGCGTCCGAATATCAATTTTCCGGCGCGAGGCGGGAAGCACAGAAGAATATAATAAAGATTGAAAATCACAATGGCCAACTTTTCTGAGTACGTCAGTCGGACGATCCAAAGTCATAATCGACGTGATTCTCCGCACGTTGAGCGCCTTAATCGTCAGTAACCGTTCCGGAGTTTTTCCCCTTTGCGGAATTTTCCCCGTGAGCGGGGTTTGACAGCAGTTTCTCTCTGGAGCGACGCAGAGCACTTCCAATCGCATTTCCGATTGATTGATGGATCCACCCACCGCATATGAAATCGCTTTCGAAATTCAATCTCGGGCCGATTGTTCTGGACAACTTGGTCAGAATCCCTCGGTGGACCCAATACGGCAGCGGCATTCGCACGATTCCCGAACGGTGCATTGTGCAAGAGCTTCCGAAACGCATTTGAAAAACCCCTCATCGACGATTACCGCGTTTCATTGATTTTTCACGCCAAATAAGAGCTCTTGTTTTTCCGAGCCCGAACCGCACACCCCTCCCATCACGGCTGGCCTGACTTCGGCTCGGCCCGGCTACCGGGAGCTTACAGCATACACGTGGAGACTTCAAGCTTCGTGTTAACAATGCGTCCTCCTTAATGAGCGCAAGTCTGTCCGTCCCTTAAGCCGTTCTGGGGTCTATCCGAATATCCGCTGGTCAGGGGCTGCCCATAAGCGTTCGTACGAGCGGCGATTATATGCGAAAAGCAATTAACTCACGATTTTCTCAAGGTCCTCTCGAATCATTGTTAACGCTAGCGACGCCTTCTACGACGAACGAAGATGTCACCGAGACGAAAACAAGAATGAGAGTTCGGCTAGCCTTAAGCAACCGGGCAATGGAACGACATGCTGCGCCGTTACGAAGAGAGCGGCCTTCAACTTACACCAGTTGTCGTAGCAGTTGTAGTGCTTGTCAAAGCAGTTGCAGTAGTTGCATGTGTGTACATTGGGGTCTTCTACCCCAAATGAAGTATAACTTTATGGCATCTTCGCAGACATCATGAAATTACGCCGGGCAATCGTCCCCGTGTCATTGCCCGATTTACAGCTTGCCGGCCCCTAGTCCGGTATCGGAATCGCGAAGAAATAATTTGTTTCCGGCGGAGTAATGACCCTGCTCCCTGGGGAAAATCATTTTTTTTTCTGCTCGGATCCATAAAATCAGATCCACACGCGCGAAGCTCCCGAAAAACATCTGACAACTTCTGATCATCACCACGCCGTAAATGATCATGTTCCGAGCATCATGTGAGGGGCTGAACTGGATTGGGCTTCAGATCGCATTGCCGATGTGTATGGCTCACCGCTCGCTATACGAGGAGCGGTCAGCGTAAACATCCGCGACCGAAGCCGAGAATCTGCTGACGTACTCATTCATCGCGCGGCTCTCGACGGAAGACAAGCCCTTTTCTGGATTCCGGAAGAAGTTTTGCATGGGATGGAATTATTCAAGACTCACCTGCATCATGTTGACGTGTCTCCTCACTTTAGCTTTTCGTCGACGCCTTCGGTAAATAACGCACGAGTACAGAAACGCGACAACGAAAAGAGCGCACACGCATCCGGCGGCGACTCCAGCGTAGCGCGTCATGTCCCAGTCGAAGACGGCCGGAGCGACTCTGGGAGTTCCCGCGAGATCCGGGTGGGGGAATCCTGAAACGATTATGAGAAGATGTCTAGCTGCATTTTAAGACGATCTCCGAGTCCTGGCCTTTCGCCCGAACCTGCGGACGCGATTGCACTATCTGAGCGTTACGGCATTGCTAATCAGATTCAAGTGAAACGTTTGACTCACAAACGCTCGCAGACCACTCGATTGACCGTGCGCTAACGAGATCGTTTGCAGAATCGCTCCAAGAAATATCCGTCGAATAAGGAAGAAACGCAGCCGCAAATCGCTATGTGGTGCTCACAGAAACATCGCGGTAAAGTACAGGAGTACTGGACGATGACGGGGGCGAAAAACTCCGGAATACCTCTGTACGATACCTGAACGGCTTACAAGGAAGCCTCGCGCGGAATTTTTTTTCCGCGATAGGTACTCGGTTCTCATGGCGGAGATGTATCCCACTAGAGTCCCAAGGGAGGGAATGAACTGACAATGAGCCATGCACAGATCGACTCTGTCTCAGAACATATGACGCAGAATTCTGAGGAATCATTGGGAAGCGAGGAACTATCTTTGCCGATCGCAGATTTCACGCTCCTGATCCGCGGAGTCTGAACGGTAGGGAAGAATGAAAATAGTCCCGATAGACTTCTGTTGTGTTGATTCAGGGCTGAGGCAACAAAAGAGTTTCGTGTTCTTGTCTGCGTTTACGTGACTCTACGCGGGACTTGCGAAACTACACCGTGATGGATCAGGTCAAACAGATTCCCAGCACAGAATTTTGATTTTTCCCAACTCGTTTCACAATAATTGTTCACCGCGCAGGCATTCGACTCCATCGGGCGACTCAGCTGGGAGCACTGAACGCCCGTTAGCTCGATTTTCTGCGGACGCACTGTGAATTTTCACAAGCATCTCGACTTTCCTTCGAATTCTCGTTGAAGCGCGTTTGTCTCACTCACAATTATTATCGAGATGGGAATTTCACCGCAGCGGGGAGACTGATTGAAGTGAAATTACGCGCTCCGTTCCTCGAAGTTCCTTCCCTCGAACCTTCCGGAGAACTTCACCGATTTCCGTTCAATCATGCCCACCCAGATCACTCGATTTTTCCGATTTAGCTCCGATCGAGGCGAGTTTCTGACCTGATGCATGCGTATCCCGCTCCCGGATCGTCGTGGCGCTGTTCACGGAGAATTTCCAGTCATCCCGATCCGACTCTCGATTTCTTTTAATCCTAAAGTCATTCACTCGGACATCCCGGCTCGAGTCCGCGGGTGTGGAGTTCCCCTCGCGCGAGATGCCGCTCGGAGCGGGGAAAAGTTTCCTTCGATCATTGTTCTTACGACTCCACGGTAGATGTATCGAGCTCGCTCTTGCCGAGTGAGGGTATTGCGGATTAGGCTCTCGAAGCGCTTTACAAAGGCTCGCTCACCGATTTTCGTGTTGTTTTCCATTATGCACGTCACTCACGGCTTCATAAGAGTGTCGGGTACCTTCTCAACATCGGATGCGAAGCTAAAGGCTCCGAAAATCAGGGAAAAAGGCCTATTGCAAATCAGTGGACAATCCACGGTAGACAAAGCGCTGCCAGCCTCGACGTCAGCTGACAAAAGCAGAGAGAGCGCATGCGCAGGATCGCCTACTACGCGCATTACACGGCGCTAAAACGTGACCTAGGCGTGATTTCGAAGTCAAGAATACAGGACCGCGTTTCTTCACGAAATGTTTCTTGAGTGAGCGAGGGTCCTGGTTTTAAGTCTTTTTGAGACGGGTCTCGCTCTCCGCCAGGATACTCAAACCCATCGAGATCCATGCACGCGGAGCCAGTGGAGCTCTGAGAGAATCATTCGACGGGAAGCTCCCAACAGAATAAAAGATAATTCGTATCAGACTGGTGGATCCCTCTCGTCGAGCGGCAGAGTACTGAGGTATCTCTCGAGAGAGGCTGGAGTCACTCCCTAATTCTTCAATAAGTACTGCGATTCATCCTCGAGACTTTCGCGTTCTCGGATGAGCGACTGCCTGTCACCCTAAAGAGGTCTCGGGACGCGAGAAGCTCCTCGTATTTCGAAGAGCGGGAGCTAATCGGTGGATCCAGCAGAGGGGAATAATTTCTGACATATGGCCGCGTACCAAATGTCACCGAGGATGACGGCAGCTGTGACATTGTTGTCGCAGTCATTCAGGCGTCAGCGTTGACGGCGCTCTCGCCCATTACGCAACCAGACAATACGGAGGCGGCTTCCATCGAATGTCATGTTCAGTTCCCGCGATTTCGGGTTCGTTTCTGACAATGAGAGTCCCGAACCTGAGACTTAATCAGCGAAGGGGAGGAGGGGTTCTCTTTGATTCATTTCCTGCCCCAAGAACTTCCCTTGCCGGATCGGCTATGCATCGACCTTATCCACAGTCGCGTGCTTATGGCTGTCACGCGAGGTAAAGTTTGTGAGGTGATGAGCTGGGCGAGCCGACGTGACTCGACTTCACAGCTCGACCGTCGTGAGAAGTGAACATCTTCATTCGCAGTGTCTTGTCAGTATTCCATGTCCGAGCGACTGAGTTTATCTAGGATGTTGACAATTGTCATCTCACCGCGACATCATTTGCATGATGTCGAATGAAGTCGAGGCGTCCATGCCTCGTCTCCCATATATCTTCTCACCATCTTGGGCTGCCGGCATTGATCAGAAAAGAACTATCTAGGCGGCCAATCGACCTTGCTATCGTTAAACGTCGGAATTCCAATTGACAGAAAGTCCGAAAGGGTATGTTTCGAAATATCCCTAAAAAAGCATTCGCTCTTTCTAAAAATGGGAGGGATATCAATTTCGGGCGTGGATAAACATTTTTTTACCACCCCGACATTCGAACGGTTGTCGAATATGGATGTGTTTTTCCCCCGTTTTTCACCTCCCCGTGACGTGAAAATCGGTATGATTCCTGTCGACCCTACGAGACTATTTGGGATTCAAAGAAAAGTTCCCTCAAACTCTCTCGCTTCGAATTATGTGCCACGAAGCACGTGGTAAACTACTCGCTTGGACAACAAGAAATCTTATCCAAAACGGCTCTCGAAGCCTTTGCGGGATAGATAATCTCATGGGAGGCAATGAGTCCACCCCAGACCCCAGAGGCCGAGAGTTGAGTCTCTCGGATGGGGGAGTTGTTGCTCGGCATCAATGGAATCGGAAACAACAACCTTGCGTCGGCGACGTCACCGATATGAATCACGACCCACCAGCTCCATAAGGCCCACCAGCGTGACGAAGAGCCTCGCTATCCCCGAGGAAATTCGGCGAGCTCGCTCGTGTCACGGACGATAGGCGACAAACGCGAGTTTCGTGTTCGTCGCGGGCTTGATTCGTCCGACGTTTCTGTAGCGGATAAACGATCGCGTAATAGACTACTCAATCCAACGCTTTGCTGATCGAGAGGGTGAACGGAGGAAAGCTTGCGTCAAATCTTCGCTCAATCATTCACCCGTATCGTCAAGGTAGCGGCAGTAGCTTCGGACAACAAGAGCAACGACGAAAAATTGTTGACAATCTTCGGCGGTTCAATGCGAAACTATTTTAACAATGTCGTAAGCAGGATATTTTTCTTTTCTCTTCTCCAGAGGACTTCTCATCGGATCAGTGGAATATTTCTTTCATCATTTCGAACGTTGCTTCCGTGGCTCACCGACTAAATGATTGATTGATTGATCGATAGTTATGAAGATCGATCGACAGTCTCACCGATCGTCAGCTTGAGCAATTGAATGCGTCGACATGAATCGTCAGGCTGATTGACTGACCGGCTTACCACTTTCGGGCGTCGAAGCCATAACTAAACGAATCCCGTTGAACGACACCGAATTCCTCCCTAGCGCCGTCGCTGTCGCCTCCATTTTCTTCTAAATAGACCCAATATAGAATTAATTATATTCTTATCGTCATTATCATCACAATACTTCTCTCCTGAAAGTCGACCATTTTGGTGCCGACCCATCGGAACCTCTTCAAGGGCGAAAGCTGACGGTACTCAGCGCGGGGTTCAGTGTAGAAAACCTCAAGGTTATCTTCGGTAAGACATATGTACGTGTTCCGGGTGCGGACGTTAGAAACATCGCGAGATTTAGAGCTCCACAACGAGCCGCCGTTTCTACTATCGGACTGAGCTATTTACGAGCATCTCGGAGCGTAAACCTGTCAGAAGCACGCACCCTGTCGAATATCGGCCGAATGCAAACGCACCCGCGAGACACGCCGAGGTTTCTGGCACGCTAAGCCCCCCGTGCCTTTTTTGTTCAGAAGGCATCGGGAAATTTTGATGATAATGTCGAAGCTTTTGCGTTTCGGAAACATCTATAGCGTTGTTTCTCTGTTCTCCTCGCTCCGCGTGCTCGCTCGTTTAATGTTTATTTTTTTGCGACTTCAACATTTTCTGTAGACGTAATCCATCCCCGTTTTTTGCAAAAGGAGAGCGAGTCGTTATCGGGACGGATGACGTTGCGCTTCGAAGGTTGACCCAGCGTCCTTTGGAAAAACACGCTTGTCACCTAGATCGCCTACAAGCGAATCACAATCACGGCGAAGGAATTATGAGTCTGACCGAGGAGTCGTTCGAGTCTCGCTCTATAGGGGCAGATATCGACATTATAAGAGGTCACTCACTCCTGGGACCAGGAGGATGAAATACCCCCATACATCCATAGAGCACCGGTCAGTCTCAAGAAGATCTATCCCGAATATTTTCTCCGTGGAAGTGTTCGCTCCGCCCCTCCCGGCGATTACTCGCCTCCTGCTCCTTCATTCTCCCCTCCGCTCATTCTTTTCCTCAGCGTGACTCACCGCTCGCCGGTTTCCAAAAATGCTCCTTTAACGAACTAATCCACCGTCGAGCTTCTTTCTCGACCTCGCTCGATAGCAGCTCATTAAACGGCATTTGGTGGGAAAGAAAACGGCGGCTGAGAAAGTGTACGCAAAATCAAAACTCAGCTTTCATTTGTGATCGCTACCTGTCACGTCGCGGAGCCGACAAAAACCGAGTCGAGCGAAAACTGCACCAGTAGTGGCCTCGCTCTCAAGCTCAAATATTTTCGCTGACGAAACCGAGAAAAAAGATAGAAAACGATGTTGTTCCGATATTTTGTGCTGTACGTATATGGCCTATAGAAGCCAACAACAAACTGTCTATCCGCTGCCCCTTCTTCTCTTACGTCCATCGATCCTCGTACCGATTCAGATGTCATCAGAGAGCTCTATTCTGGGGGCGTGGGTTTCCTTCCATTATTTTCATCGTTTCCAGCGATTTCCCAATTCCATATCGCCGATGAAGCACGTGGCTCCTGACGACGGAGCGACCATATGACAAGACTACGGTGAACGATGTAGGTACATATCTGTAACGATTACCGAAGTACGGTATCCAGATGCAGCTGCTCCGCCCCATTGTACTGCAAACACGCGAATGCCGGCACAGCTCAGATCCTCATCTGAAAACGCTGCCTGAAAAATAAGACGAAAGCTGCAAGCAGATGCATGTTCATGATTGACGGGTGGGAGCGATACGCAGAACAACGCTGATTATTTTGTGTGAGGCGAATGACATCTGGGAGGGACAGGCACCGTTCGATGCCCGACGAGTCGACGCTGATTGAGTCGCCGCAATCGGAAATGAGGAGGATCTATGCCTCAATTAGTCCCGCGGTTTTGACTGCCACTGATCTAAAGATGGAGCTGACGATCCGTATTCATGAAATCGGGTTTTGGATCGATGGCTCGGTGATAAAATTCAATGATGAGCGACAAAATGCTCGAGACCGCTCTGAGCGATGAGAGAACCTCCAATAGTGTGGAACCTACAACTTTTGAATCCTCTGACGCGATAAGTCGAAGGCTCAGCAGTGATATCGTGATTTTCTTGGCAGGCCGGACAGATATCTGTCCCCCTTTCGGAACACCTGCCAGATACATGGATCTGGCACATGGATATCCGAGAGAGACAAGCGGATTTTCCTCGATAATTAAGGTTGATACGGAGGAATTCCCCGGGGAAGGTCGTGAAAAATGGTTTATATGGAGGTAGACATTTGAACGAGCGCACCGTCTCCCCGAAGATTGTATGCCAGGGCTGCAAAATTCGACGCAAAGGTTGAGAGCGACGTCGACGTCTCCGGGTTGCGGACGGGAGAGATGAAAGGTACGCAGAGGAGCTGCTGATACGTCGAGGTTTTGTACGTTCAGAGCAATCGTTTGTTTTTTTTCAACGAAAATCATAATCACGCTGCAGCTTGGACTCAATTGAGCCGTTTCTTAAGACTTTGGGCCATTCTCGTTAGCGTTACAATTCGCGGAGTTGTTCGGCATTGTTTTCTTCTTCCAAATAAGACATTTCAGCTCTTAATGTACACTATTTGTCTTATTCTCAGTTTTCCGCCCGTATCGTAATGGCCGGAATTCCACCGGGCCCTCCATGCATCTGTCAAGTTTCGTCATCGTACGTCGTGGGACCGGAGAGAAAATTCTGTGGCGAGTGATTCCGGAGCGTTCCTTGTTCTCCCAGCACAGAAACCGTTAAGTTCAATAATTGAATTATTGTCGAGACAAAGGACGTCGAGTCGGCCGTACCAGCGGTGTCCCGTACCGTTCGAAACCCCGAGCAGCGTGATCTTTGCTCACGATCGGCTCTCAATTCCCGCAATATCGCGCGTTAAGTTGCCGATTTATTCGGTTTTTGTTGTTGGTTTTTGGAGGACACTCCGACCCGCGGACCGGATCCTAGCGAATCATGCGGACGATTGCTTCAAACGGAAACGCTTCGTCGCCGTGGTCCGAAAGACGTCAGGGTTACCGGTGCTCGCTGGGTACTTGCGGCGGTGGCGGCAGCAGCGGCGTCTTGTGCTGGACCTGGTGACTTCTACGAGCCATTGTTTTCGGGGTTGGCGTGGCCGCGGTGACCGCGAAAACGCAGAAGAAAAAAGAAGTCGTAAGAAAACTTTGCGCCGTTCCACAGAGGTGTTCGTCCACAGACTTGCGGACGCTAGTACACGGCATCTATGCAGCACGTGCTGCCGTTTTTCGCCCTCTCAAATTATGGCTCCTCGCATTTTCCGCCGGAGCCTTGCGAATGCTTCGCGCGGAAGCGTAGCGCGAGTCGATAATGAATGTGTAAATTCTCGCAGAGGAAAGAGAAATGGCAAACTAAACGAAGTTGTTCAGTAAGTCATTCAGAGCAATTGAAGTCACACCTAGTGTTCCTAGAATGGTCTCTTACTCTTGTCGAATCGAGGGCCGTTTTTCCGACAGATTCTGCGGAAATCGATCATAACCGAATTTTCTGAGAAATATGTACATACAAGGTGTGAAGTCACGAGCATCTCAGTGTCTTACTAAGTCCGACGATAAGAATGTATTCTCGTTCAGAAAATAAATCAGCGTAAAAATATTACTGTTCCATTGGCATCAAAGGCGTGAGATTTTCTGAAAGCTCCCATGGGCGGGAACGATTACGACCATTGAGGATCTTGAAATTTCAGTCGATTCCGTCGTGGATCCACATTCAATAAGAATAGCCACGAATGCTTCCTAGAACAAAACAAGTTGCTGAAACTAAAAACAGAAATCACGGTGCTTATCGTTCCGCCGAACAGTTTGAGCCCAATATCATTGTGAGGGTTCAATCGCTCTCTCTCTGCCCTATCCACATTCCCCGGCCGATGTCCATCGATAAGAGCGTGGGAAAGCTTTTTCCCTCCGATGGGGTCTGAATTTTGAGATAAATCGGAGTTCTGAGAGAGGATACCACCCGAATAGCGCGAGTCGAAGGAAAGCGTGGAGAGCCCCGGGGAAGAAACGACAGACGACGAGAATCTGGGAAATCGACGAGCTATCGGGGCTTTCTGGGCCTGCCCCTCTTGCGTGATAACCTGAAAAGTCGACGCTTGGCGCAAACCCAGAACAAGTCCTACGTACGGTTGCAGACAATAGCAGATTATCTGGTGTTTGAGAAGAAACGTATTTTTGAAAACCTGTCTCTGACTTAAAATAAAAGAAAGGCCACTGCGACTCATAGTACGCGGTCGAACTGATCAAAATCGGGCGTCGTCGTCGCCGAAGTTCGCTCCGTAATCGCGGTTCGGATCCGCGCTTTTCTTTCGCAGAATCAGATCGTGGATTTTATTCCGGCGAAATATTAACACATCTGAGACCCATGAACCGGGACCAAGGCTTCACGAGGCGTGGTATTCGCATATACCACGCAAATATCAACAGATACCGCAACGTGACGTGTTTCGTCAAGACGCCAGACGTGCGAGGACAGACTGCGTTTGACGCTTAATCGGGAAGTGAGCTCAGAAGTTCAGGAACGCTCGGGACCGCTCCCCGGACCCTTTTTCTGAAAATTAGAGACTTCACGTGTGGTCATCCCGGTCGGTCTAATTGTCCCAATATGTCGATAGACAGATTCACTGTGAATCCTGCCGTCGGAGCCTGCCTCGGAGCAATGACGGACTGACTGACTGAGATGCAAAGGATCATGTTCGCCGCGTGTGTCCCGGAACACATTCGGCTTAGCAGCCCGGCTCAGACTCTAGGTGTCGCGAACCCCTTTCGATCGCGGGTGCCCCAAGGAAATACACCAGATTCTCGGAGACCGCGGTCGTCAAGCCACGTGGGTTCGGCTTCGCTCTGCTCTCAGCGACGGCTGCCAGTGGTGCGCTACCTGTTGGTTGCGTGCACGTCGCCACCCGTGGCTGTCCGTCCCATGTTTTCCGACCCACGCTGTTGGCCCGACGACCCGACTTTTATTGAACGTTTATTTCTCGATCGGTATCCGCCACACTCCCGCCAAATTACGGATTCAGTCGAACGTCCGGAATATATTATATATTATATAGGATATAACAAGTGACTTTTACATTCTGATTCGGACCTCGATGAACCGTAATTTACGTTGGCTGTCTGTGTTCTACCGACTACGATTTACCTAAGTGCGACGAATGCGGAAATCGCTAGCTTAGACCTCCAACGGATAGAGGAGTTGAATCGGTCGGCTATAAGTTTGACCGGTTGCGAGTTTGATGAGACAGGATCGTTTGAGGCGGTCTGACCTCTCCCCCCCCGAAAGGCTCAGAACTCTACAGAGCGGCCAGTGATTCCGCGACGTGTCTGAGTCTTTCAGTAAGCAAATGTCGCCCGGCTGCAAAGATCTCCTGGTCACTGGTGTGCGAAGATGTGCTGAGCGAAGATATTGTAAATACTCCTCTTTGAATCTTTTGCGGAAACTTTTCATGATCGACTGGTAGTACATCCATCTTTTGGAAAGCACCAATGACTTGTAAGCCGACGGGTCCTTCGGCTCGCATTCCACCTCTGGAAGCGGCACTCGGAGATTATTCGCTGACACCAGTTCGGCTGGGCTAAGGGCTCTAATCTCGTTCGGATCGGTCTGTATCGCCGTTAATGGTCTTTCGTTCACCAGTGCTTCCACGTCTGAAAGGACAACCTCCAGCTCTCTGAAAGAGAGTGTATTCTTGCCCAGAATTCTCCTCAAAGGGCGCTTTATGGTCTGGACCATCCTCTCGTACCATCCGCCTTGCCACGGAGCTCTCGCCGTGATAAACTCCCACGTTATGGATTGATTGACCAGATGTTGTTGTACCCGAGGCGCTCTCGCATGGTCGAATAATATTTTTAGCTCTTTCGCGGCGCGCACAAAAGACCTACCGTTATCGGATATGATTTTGGTAGTGGAGCGGAATCGGTTCAGAAACTTTCTTAGCGACAACAGAAACTGCTCCGTGGACATATCCGGTACCAGCTCTAGGTGGACGGCTCTAGTCGCTGAACAAACGAATAGCAAAATGTAGCCTTTGCAGACTTCATTCATCGCATTCCTGAAGGGAATGGGTCCCGCATGATCGACACCTGTAGCGGAAAAAGCTGGGGCAGTGTCCATGCGGAAATCGGGGAGTGGGGGTACCGGTTCCCTGGCTGCTTCTACACGAAACCGCATACAGATCTTACAGTCCCTGAGGACACTCCTGGTTGTGCGTCTTGCCGATAGGATGTAAAACTTCCGTCTTAGAGCATTGAGGGTGAAAGCTACGCCGCCGACATGATATAGTCGCTTTTCGTGAAAGAAACGGATCAGCAAGCGCACTGCATTATCATTCCCTGGAAGTACGATAGGAAATTTGTCGTCGAAGGACAAATGCTCCGCGCGCTCTAGCCTTGAGCGGCTGCGAAGCAAGCCTCTATCGTCGAGGAACGGAGCCAAATTGAACAACTTGCTCTCCTTCGGAACCTCTTTACAATTTGAATTGATCTCTAAATCGAAGTGGCGTTTTTGTATCGACTTGATAATAGCCTCCTCTGCCTTCATGGCTTCGGCTGTGGATACGGGTGCGCCTGACGCTGCTCGCTCACGAGCGCCTCTCACGATCGCGAGCCATCTCAATATCCGCGCCGTACTGTTGACAACCACAGACCACGATGACACTCGATCACAATTCTGGAAGACGTCAACCTCCGACGCTGCTGCCCGAGCAGAGAGGCATGCCGATCTCGATTTTTCGCTCTCGACCTTGAGTTCATTGTCGAACAACTCGTTCAATTGATGGGGTTTTTCCGGGCGCCCGTTCCTGGAGAGCCAAGGAGGACCTCTCAGCCACATGTCCATCGCCTCTCCCTCGGTGACCGAGACGCCTCTGCTCAGCAGATCTGCCGGATTATCCGCGGAGGCTACATAATTCCAGGCCGAGGGATCTGAGAGCGACTGAATTTCCCTTATGCGATTCGCCACGAAGGGTTTCCATCTACTTGGAGCGTCTCTTATCCAATGCAGTGTGGGCGAGTTGTCCGACCAAAAAAAGATTGAGTCGAAATGATAATTGAAGTACTCCCGGACCCTCTGCACGAGTCTCGCCGCCAACACTGCGCTGATCAATTCTAACCTATGAATGGTGAATTCTGCTCTTAGTGGTGCCACCCTCGCCTTGGCTGCTAACCAATGCGACTTCGGGCCCTCCTGATCCGAGACCTCCCGAATGTATACCACTACTCCGTAAGCTGCTAGAGAAGCGTCACAGAACGCATGTAACTCGGTTCGCCGTGGAGCCGACGGAGAAGAGAGCGTGTTTCTGTCGACTCGCACTCTGTTCACCTGCTCGAGAACGCTAACGAAGTCCGAAAACGCTTCTAACTCTTCGCCGCCGAGGGGCTCGTCCCAAGATCGCTTCGCAATCCATAACCTCTGTATCAACGTCTTCGCCTTTATCGTGATCGGAGCGATCAGTCCCAAGGGATCGAAAACCTGCGCGGTACCTTTCAACAGCGTGCGCTTCGTGGGTTGATTCGCTCGCAGAGTGGACACAGCCGCTTGTACCGGTATGTGGAGCTGGTCGGACCCCAGGTCCCAGCCCAAGCCGAGGAACCTGAAATCCGTTTGCCCGTAGTTCACTTGCAAGCCCTCTATTTCTGCCGTCGCCTCCATGCGTCTGCCCAACTCAGCGCTGTTGGTAGCCCACCTCTGGAGCCTAAAACCTCCCTCGTTGAACGAGTCCAACATAAACCGACAAATTTCGAGACCTGATTGCGCTGAGTCTGCGCTGGTTACGAGATCGTCAACGTAGAAATGATTCTCGATGTCCTCTAGCAAGCCAGCTTTCTCTGGGTGGTCTCGCTTCAGCTGCCGAATGTGGTATTTCAGACCTGCGCAATGTATGAAAGGGCTGGACACGATACCGAAATCCAGCACCGTACTCCATAACTCCTTAATAGGCGCGTGCGGGTTCTCCGATACGCCGATTGGCCAAAAGAAGCGGAGGAAAGTTCGATGATCAGGGTGGATCTTGTATTGTAAAAATGCCTTTTGGATGTCTGCGACGATCGCGATTTCCTGTTTTCGAAATCTGAGGAGCACCTTGATAATGTCAGGCAGCAAATTGGCGCCGCAATGTAAGACATCGTTCAGGGCTGCTTCATCCTTTCTACGTGCGCCTGCATCCTTCACAACGCGTACTTTCGCGATTTGACCAGTCGCTGTTCTCTTTATTACCGGGAGAATCGGCAAATAATGGACGAGTTCTCCGGGTTTCTTTGGAGTCGCTGGCTCAGCGTAGCCCATCTGGACATATTTCTGAATTTCCTCGTCCACTGATCGGAGAAGATCTTTCTTGTCGCGTGCCTTCCGCAGAAACCGACTGAGGCTGCCTCTAGCTATATTTTCGTTATCACCCAGGAATCTCAACTTGTCGTTGAAAGGCAGGCTTACCATGTATCGGTTTTCGTTTAACCGCTGGATGTTGTTTTTGAAAAACTTCTCGAGCTCTGCCTCTGCTGTCGAGTCTACGGTATCTGACTGCGGTTCGATACCGAGAATGTCCGTCGACCAAAGCAGTTGCAAATCCGTATCCAATTTAATTCGACCCCGCTCTCCTGTTCGATCTCACACTCATCAGAGGACCCTCCGCGACCTGAACATATTCCACATCTTCCCGTCGGTTAATCAACGTGGAAAGATTTATGGTCTCGGAGGATTTTAACCTTGTGCCCGGTTGGAACCGACTAGATGCCAGAAAAACCATTTGCTCCTGGTGTAGCTCGCCCTCAGGCTCTCCCCTTCCAGAGAGGACCCAGCCGAAAATGGTACTCGTTGCCACGACCTTATTGTCAAAGATCCGCTCTTCGCCTTTAAGCAAGCTCGCCAAAGCGTCCTGCCCGACAAGAATGTCGACCGTTGACGTCTCTAGCGAGCCGCCGTGATCAGCCAACGGGAAAAGACCACGACCGTCCCGCATGATTGGGAACTCGCCCTTTGCTATCTCAGGAACTTCTACCGCTGGGATCGCAACCGTACTCGTGCTATTGAATCTGCCCCGTAACCTTAGATGATACACATCGTGATTCTTGTAGTCCGAAATTTCTCCGCCTATCGTGAGTGTCGCGAGGTTCTCCCTGCCGATAGGGTCCAGAGCCAGAGCCTGGGTTACCTTCCGCGAGACGTATGAGCGCTCAGCGCCGGAATCCAGAATGAATCTGAAAACCTTCTTACGGTACCGACCGAGCACCCAGACTAGGCCGGTTTGGAAGTATTTGATCTCATTCGATGTCGAGTCTACCGTGCCTGAAGCGACTGTCGCTGAGAAAGCCTTCACCTTTTCCCCATCAGCCTCTCTCTTCTCGCAAATTATTGGATAGTGAGCTCTCCCACAAACGTCGCACTTCACATTTCTGACCCTACAATTCTTGGCATGATGATTCCTATGCAGGCATTTGAAACAGGCGTTGCTCCTCTCGCAAACCTCCCTCCTCTCTTTCACCGACAAGGGCTTCTTGCAGGCTTTACTCTCGTGTTTCGTGCCTGCGCAGAAAAGGCAGGAATGGTCTACCTCGGAATCCTTTGCGAGAAAAGCCACGCTGTCCCTACCTGGCCGATAACTATTATGGCGAGCCCTGGCGCCTTGGTAGTTTCCGGGATTATTTACGAATCCCCTGCCATAGCTCGCCCCTCTAGCATTGGTATCTGTTTGCGGGTCAAGAGTTTGACATGCTCTTTTGATCGCCGCTTCTCTATCCAAATATTCCAAAAGGAGTTTTAATTCGTTGTCCGCATCCGCTTTGGCGAGATTCTCGAAGTTCTTCCTACTGAAACTTTCTCTCATTTGTACCGGCAGTGCGTTGAGCACGTTCGGGGTCACCATCGTGGATAAAGACTCGTATGTCTTTCCCAGCGCTATCAGTGCCTTCACGTTTTGGGACAACGAACTAATGAATTTGAAAAGCTTATCGTTTATGTGAAGATCCCGGGCCTGGAACAGTCTCTGGAGTTGTTGTACGTGTTCCTTCTCGGCATCCTTCGGAGCTCCAAACTTCGCCTCGATTGTGTCCATTGCCACTTGGTATTGATCGGCGGAAAACTCGAGATGCGCGATCTCCGCAGCCGCCGGTCCCACAAGCGATTGTTTCAGATACGAATACTTTTCCACCGGATCCAGCGTCTTCTTGTGCACGTGAGCATCGAAGATCTGCCACCATTCACGAAATTTCCTATAGTCCCCGGAAAATTTCGGAATCTTGAAGTGTTTGTTGAAGTTCCCGAGCTTGGCAAACGAGGTGGATAAATCTGTCACCTTCTGTTCTTCTGCCGACCGTGTCTCTTCTGCTCGGAGCGCTTTCACGTCGAAGTACACACGGAAATACGCGTCCTCATAGTCGAAGGCTCGTTCAGCTGCCGCCTCGAACTGCTCGGGGGCGCACTTGAGCAAGAGTGGGGTGATGATTTTATTTTCTTCCTTTAGTTGCTCGAATATCTCGTCCACTAGCAACCACTCGCGGTCCACCTTTGATCTGCGTGACGCGCGGTTCTCAATAGTTTTCAAAGCCTCTTCTAACTCGTGGAGCTTTCTCGTAAATCTCGTCCTCAGTTTCCTTCGGATGGCAAGATGGTCACTTAGGAGAGTTTTCTCCTGCTGTGTGGCTAGGGGTCTCTCGGACGCCGCGACGGTCAAGGACGCCTCGAGGTCTTCCTGGGCCTGCGCCA